AGAATAAAAAATGGGAGTCATTCGTGAAAGAACGTTGAGGCGAGGCTGTTGGTTTCTACGGCAAGGTCCATTTCAGAGAAAATATTTGTTTGAGAGAGAGATGTAGGAGTTTTATGAAGCAATGGTGGGGCAGATCCAGAAACAATATATGTATGGGCCTAAATAGAATAACATAACAAAAATATAAAAAATAATCATAACAAATTATTTATATTTGTAATATGTTTTAAACTTTGAATACAAGAAAAAAATAGTAAACAAAAATATTTTCTTTTATTTGTTTATATAATCATATTTTATAACTAATATATAGAATATAGTAAAATATTTTTTCTATCAAACCTAAAATTTTAAAATATTTTCTAAACAGTAAACTGGATCCAAGTTGTATATATAATTATGATGAAAAGACATGTAAAAGCTTCAATTATATATAGTATATTTGTAATGGAGAATAAGAAGGAAACAACATATTTATGTTAAAAAAAACTAACAATAACATTTTTGAAAATGTGCTATAAAAACTATTTAAAAAATGTAAAATAAATAAAAGAAATATAACTGAAATTGAATAGTAAAAATAAAAAATAAAAAGACAGTAGTATAATATAGCCATAGGCCCATATAAGATATGTAAGAAAATAAGTGGTAAATTAAAAAAATAGTAACAAAGTTTGATAGTAAGTAAGAGAATCGAAAGCTAGAACCGAGATAACAATAAGCATTTGTTCCAACAAAATATTATTTGTTATAGCTAATTATAAAATTTTATAATGAGTATGGGGCACGTGCCCCAACTTTCACAGCGTAGAACTGCCAGGCAAGGCTGGTCATTTCTCCGGCAAGGTCCATTTGAGAGAGAAGGAAGAATATACTTATTTGAGAATTGAGAAAGAGACGTAAAACTAAGAATTAAGTGAAAGGATATTTTTGAGACTAGAGAAGTAAAATTGAAAAGATTTAAGGTAGAAAAGCTGTGAAACGCCTCTACTAAAGGATGTTAGTTAGAATTAGAGTTTGCTACCGAAGATAAAAAATGAGAATAGAAAATAGAAAGATAAAATGTGAAAAATTTGGTGTAAAAAGTAAAAGAAAATAAAAAGAAGATAGATAATATATTTTCATATGAATAAAATGTTTAACTAGTAGTGTAAAGTGCTTTATTTCGTAGTTGATAACTTATAAAGTATTTTTTGTGTAAATATCTCAAAATTATTTTTAGATTAGTGAGATTTTTTATAACTAGTATTTAAGCCAACATATATTTATATAAATGGGTAGGACATAATTTTTTTTTTGTTTGGTCGACGGGTAGGACAGAATAAGTAAAGAACTAACGAAAAGCATTTAGCAAAAAACAAAAAAAAAACAAAGAGAGAAAGAAAATCAGTTACTACTGTTGTAAACGATTGCCTCCATTCCATGCATTTGGGTCTAAACATCGTCTAGATTTAGCTCTAGGAAACTTCCTAAATATATCGACAATATTTTATAATATTTTACGAAATATCTGTGCTGTTGTATACTAGTATATATATAGATACCTACACGTACGTACGTGTGCAACTTCTAAACCTTTAAGTCTTTAAACATTAAGAACACACTTAACTACATATTATATATATATATATATATATATTAGCATAAGATGAAATTATAAAAAACTACTTCATTTAACAGAAAAATAAAATTCTTTCGATAGTAAATTAAAGTTGACATCATGTAAATCTCTCTACATCAATAGTATTATCAGTCTAACTTTGTAACCAATCATAATAAAAATTTGCATATTTGTTAATTAATTGAGTTCTGAATCTTTCATTCCCTAATTTCCGGCTCTGGTGTCTCTCTCACCACTGGAATCAAATTTCTGTTTGTTTTTCTTTGTTTTCTTCTTTATCTAAACCACCATTAGATTTAGTTTTTTTTAAATCAAATTCGATTTTGGAGATTTTGATTTGCAATTCTGTTTGGATTTAAGCATAAACTTGGTTTGGGATGCCGGATTGCTTTGATCTTCGGTTTAATTTGCTCTAAATGACTTCGAGTTGTTTTGTTTTATTTTGTTTTTGAACTATCTTTTAGATCTGGTTTTTGGTGATTTTTCTGTTTTGGAATTGTCAAATTTTTTTGTTTGTTTTATTGGAAACATGTTTGGTTTCTCTCCGGTTCAATATATCACTTTTTTTTGGAGATTTGATGCTACTGGTTTGGATCATCTACTCCCCACCTTTGCTTTACTAGTCTGATTGGAAAGTTTAAGTTTGATTAAGAAGAGATCTCTTTTCATTATGAGAATTGTTATCATATTATTGTCAAAAGTATAAAAACTCCGTCTATTATTGCTTTTATTGATTTTTTCATTGACATTTTCAAACTTTTAAATAAAATTATTTTATTATCGCTAATGTATTATCAAGAAATTTCCTCTTGATTAATTTATTAGAAAAAATTATTGATTTCTCTCTATATTTTATTTGTCAAATTTCTTCTATATGGTAACAAAGTGTTAAAAAAAAAAAATCTTTCATTCCAGTTATGAATTATCTAATTGAGATGGAGACGACAAAAAGAAATATTTACATAAAATAAAACCTTCTTATGACGTCATGCTTTCGTAGCTTTGTGTCAATAGATAAAGAAAGTCATAGAATTGCATGCATAATTGTTTTTTACCGAAAAATATCTCTCTTTATTATCAGTTGACAGTGCCATATGTCCATCCAAATACCTTACTATTAAACAAAAAGTTTTGGATTTTACGATAGTTTATTAGACCAAAAACAAATTTTTTTTAAAATTAACGTAAAAACTTCTGTCGGAATTTGAACTCAGGTCTTGCTCATCCTCCAATATATTAATTTATTTCATTCCACAAATGAAATTATGGTTTTAACAAAGAAAATACAAATGAAATTATGAACTCGGGCGGGTTATATATATTAGTATAATTAGGTATTTATCTGCGTTATACTGCGGAATATTTTTCTAAATTTTATATATATTTCTAATATAATAAAATTATTTTTATAATATAAATAAGTATTATATTTATTTTTTATTAGCTTAAGTTATGTATTAATATATTTTAAATCTGAATAAACATTATATATTTTTTATTTTATTTTTCAATATTATAATTTGCTATTAAATTTGGTTAGCTAAGTAATTATAAATGTATATATATGAATAAAATATATAAGAATAAAGCAATATATTTTTAGTACATTCATGCTAATGGCAAATGTAATCTATTTTCTCTAATAAATTGCCACTTGATCCCCCTTTATAATTATAAAAAGAAAAATACAATTTAAAAAAAGGTTTATTAATTAATATGATTATTTTGAATTATAAAATTTTATTTATTTATAAAATATTTTATTATAAACATATATATTCTAAACATATACATAGTTTACTAAAACTACCAAACTATAATCGATAATATTCATATTAAAACCATTGCTATTGCTTTAGAACAAAATAGAAAATTATGTTTGAATTCTTAAAATATCGTTTTAGTTAAAGTTAAATAATTTAATTTTGGTTACTGTAAACATACTTTAACTTGGAAATTTAGCATAGAAAAATTTCATCTTCTTACAAAAATCGAAAAATCGCATTTTCCATCAAAACAAAAAAAAACTTCATTTTCCCATTAAACTGAGAAATCGCATATTCCTGTCAAAACTAAAAAAATTATTTTCTCGTACCTAAAACCTAAAATTTTATTTTCCCGCGAGAACCTGTGCTTTTCCACCAAAGCCGAGAAATTACGTTTTTCACAAAAGCAAAAAAATTTCATCTTCCTGCAAAAAAATAAAATATATATATTTCCCGCCAAAATCAAAAAATTTATTTTTTCCTGCGAAAACTGAGAAATCGTCTATTCCTGCCAAAAAAAAAAAATCATTTTCTCGTCAAGCCCAGAATTGAGATTCTTTTTTTCTAATTACTTTTGCAGTGAACTTCTGTAGTTCACTCTTATCAAAACCAGAAGCACGCTTTCCGACAAAAACAAATAAACTATAATTTTTTACGAAAACTAAAAATTGCATTATTTCCCGTGAAATTGTGTTTTCCCGCAAAAACTAAGAAATTATTATGTTTATATCGGTTCATATTTTTGCTGATGTGTGAGCTTCTTATAACATAAAGCTTTTTGCGTTGTTGTCATAGAAGCATAGTTGATGTTGAACCTACACATTTTCAATCATATACGTCTATGTCAAACAAACAGATAGCTAGAACTTTTTTGTATTATTTATTTGTTGTTATTTATTATTTAGATTTGGTTTTGGCAAAAAAAAAACAATGATTTAATTTTTTTTATTCGTTTTTATTTATTATTTATTATTTGGATTTGGATTTGGCAAAAAATTAAATAATGATTTTTTATTTGCTGTTATTAATTATTTGGATTTGTATTTGGTAAAAAATAAAACAAAAACTAAAAGAAAAAATATTTGGATTTTTAATGGATTTAAGTTTAAAAATTAAAATAAGTAGATGAGATGTATTAATAAAATATTTTGATTGATGATTATTTTTGCTGAAATGTCATGTTTATAAAGCTTTAAAAAGCTGAGGTGTCAAGCCATGGAAAGACTTTAATATTATTGTTGTGTTGATTTGACTACTACCTTAATAATTTTTAAAGTACCAATCATTTGGTTAATAAAACGATATATTTACCATCATGTAATTTTATATACTCTACTGTCTTTTTTTTGTTAGTATATACAGTAAGAGGAATCCAAATCGAATTAAAAAAGTTTCACATAACATGACGAGATCATACTCTTTTTTTTTTAGGCAAAAAAAAAAAGATCACACATTAAACAATAAAAATAAAGCTACTTCAGTCGGTGTTTGCATTCATCTATATGTAGTTCGTTCGATACATTGGAAATTGACAAATCATACGAAAATTCTAAAGCTATACACGAAGATATCAGACGATAGATGACAAACCCCATTTAATAAAACATATATAAATGGAAAGTTCTGAGCAAAACCGATGTCGTTCTACCGTAGTAGAAACCATCGAAGCACCACTACCACTAGTGTGGTCAATATTACGCCGTTTCGACAAACCCCAAGCTTACAAACGTTTCGTGAAGAGTTGCACTATCCGCTACGAAGGCGACGGCGACAGTGGAAAAGGCTCCGTTCGCGACTTGACGTTGGTCTCCGGCGTTCCGGGGGATTTCAGCACGGAAAGGCTCGACGAGCTAGACGATGAGTCTCACGTTATGATGGTTAGTATCATTGATGGCAACCATAGGCTTGTGAATTTCAGATCGAGGACGACGGTGGTTGCGATGCCGGAGGATGAGGCGGAGAAAACGGTGGTGGTGGAGAGTTACGTTGTGGATGTGCCGGAAGGAAATAGCGAAGAAGATACTATATTGTTTATTGATACAATTATTCGGTTTAATCTCGTATCACTTGCTGAGCTTACCAAGAAGAAGATGAGAATCATCGGACAATGATCAATCTATTTATGATTAGTTTAATGATAGTTGTTTTTTTGTTTTATAGTTAATAAATCGTTGGATTAGTAGTTTTAATGTTAAAATGAAGTAGTAATTTTACTGTTAAAATAAAGCGTTTTTTGTAACTAAAATAAAGCGTTTTCTTACGTTCTTATTCATAAATGTATATTTGTGCTTTTAGTATTATGAAAAATCATGTAAGAATATAAATAGAAGGTTATTGAGCATTGCTTCGATTAGTGATCTTTCAAATAGTGGAATGGTAGCACCAAATCACGAATCCATTGCTTTTTGTTAATCTTAATCATAGGAGGATATGAAGCGCGAATTACAAATTTGATACCAGCGTTTTATTAGCAAAATTAAACTAAATTCGGTTGTTTTTTGTTTTTTTAATAATTTATTCTGAATTATTATTCTATAATTCCATCATTCCACATTATCTGTTGGCCATTTTTTCTCTAATAAATGTAACATATAAATAATTACAAGTTGGTGAAAAGACAAAAGAGAGTTTTCTCTTCAAAGAAAAGACAAAATAGAGAGTTCGGTTTATTTGAAAATTTTTATTTTCTCGTGGACGGTTTGGAAATGGGCCTTACTGATATGGGCTAGTGGGCCTTTTTAAAGGATGGGCGTGTTATTATTTGGGGGGGGCAGTGTGTGTGACTGTGTGAGTGGTTGCCACGTGAAGATATTCTCCCTTGTCCTTTTTATTTTCATTTCCCGCAAATTTAGGGATTTTTTTGTCAACTAATCTAATTTCTCCTTTTTCTTTGAGAAAGAATTAGGAAACAAAAAAAGAACGAAAGAGATGCAGAAATTTCAAGACGATTTTTGTTTCTTGTGTACTCGAGTTCTCGACAACATTCACCGGTTTCTCATCTTCTTTTCGTATTAGAAAACTAGAATAAATGTTTGCATTGCTTATTGTTGTGTAAATCTACGCTATATTAATTTGAATTTCTTTTTTTGCTATTTTAATTATTTTTGTCAACGTTGATACACATCAATATTTGTTTTTTCATATATTAGTTTGATTTCTATTCGAAATTTTTCGATTATAAAATTTTAACACAACAAACACCTGACTCCTTCTCTTCAACAAAAATGGACTGGAGATATAGAATAACAAATTTTATGAAAACTATATGTTTAAACGATATTTTCTATGAAATGGAGGGAATATTGACTCTAATTTCAAATTTGTTATTCCAATTTATAGATTGTGTACATCACTTGATGAGTTAACCCAAAGTTGCAAGTATTAGGAGCTATAGATTAAAAGAAGTTGTCGAATAATATTATCTCTTAATACGATTTTCGGAACACTTCTTATAAGATGAGAAAGCTTTATTTCCACTTTCCACGTCTACAAACAATCTAATCTAAAAGTCACATGTTGATTTGTTTGTTGTCAATCTCTATGAAAACGTTAATTAAACACTACTCAGTAATCACACGTTTGAACTTTGAAGACTGTTTAGCTCTTGCCTCTTAGACCCGTTAACCAATAGTTAGAAGTCGTTTAACCAATAGTTAGAAGTCAATCCTCTTCATTTTGGCTGTCATAAAAAACCATTAAAACGTTGATTACTCTACAACCGAGTCCTATCATGATCCATCGAGGCGATGCCGAGACTTTTCTTCAAAGACTTTGAACAAATTTCATCAATCAGTGCATTCGGAAAAGAAAAAAGTAGTGCACCACAATAAAACGTTGTGTGGCTCGGAAAAGGACAGAACAACATGTGTTACATTACCAATGAAGTTGGTCCACTTCAGTTAGTGCTTATTCGGCTCATATAAAAGTATTTTTCTCATTTTTTATTTTGTTTTATTTATTATTACCTTTAGAGGAACAGTTGAAACTTGAAAGTTGAAACACACAACCACTCCTCACATTTTGCCTGAGGAATCATTTACGTTAATTCCAAAATTTTGTCTCTGATCTTCTTGTATTTTAATGTGTAACAACGTCCTTTTTCTATGCGCAGCACTTAAAGTTCCAACAGCAAAACAAAAGTAGTAGTTGATCTCATCATTAAATTTCCAATCAAATCTTGTGGCGATGGGATTTGTTATGAGCTCAATTGAAAAAAATAAAAAAATAAACATAAGATACTACATTAAAAACTCGCTCTCCGAAAAAAGAAAAAACTAAAGAGAAAAGTCTCTTTTATTGACAATTCTTTATCTACATTCATCTTCTATTTCCCTAAACTCAAGCCTTCAATCTCGGTCCCAAACATTCGCCGTAATATATAGTATTCAATTTTCTCTTTTCTTTATTTTCTATTTTTTTTTAAATAATTCTGCTACTTTAATAAGAACAACTACAAACTCGAACACAGCAGAAAAAGAGAATCAGTAGTTTCTGATTCTTGCTTGAACTAAGTGGAGGTCTTTTAATGGCTTCTGTCTGATCAGAGAGTGGTCTTCTTTTTTTTCATGCTCGTTCCCATATTTATACTCATTGTTCTTCTCATTTTAGTTCTTTAATTGTTGGATCTGTACACTTAAAACAGAGACTTTCTTTCTTTCTTTTTGCTCTTTTTGGTCTTTTTTTTTTCAAGAATGGAGGGGAGGAAATTGAATTTGTATGCTCCATTACCATCAATAAGGCGAATCTTGAGCAAAACAGAGCGTACAAGTGAACCAGAGAACAAGAAGACGACGATTACCAGATCAGAGCTTCGATCATGTCCCGACACAGAACAAGAAACGCCGGTTTTTGTATTACCAGACCAAAGCTTTGATCATCTCACAGAACCAGCTTCAATTCCTTTTTTGTGGGAGCAAATCCCTGGAAAACCAAAAGATGACATGGCTACATTGATTCAAGAATCAGGTTTACTAGAAACCGATGAAGATGAAGATGAAGATGAAGATGAAGAGGATGAAGATTTGGATACGGTGTCTTCAAATGTGAGTTTCTCTGTTAATTGCAGCACAAGTGGAGTGAGCGAAATCGAGAAGAACGGTGAGAAATCTGACGATGTGTCTTCTAAAGCAAGTCTCGATCTAATGATGTCGAGGTTCTTGCCAGCTGCTAAAGCAATGGCTTTCACACATCAGAAACATCAGTCTTCTTCTGCCTATAACTCTTCAGAGCAGAAGCAAACCATACAGAGCAGAGAAGCTCTTGTAACTCGCCAAAGAAGTCAACTAGTCGCAGCACATGAACATTTCGCCATTATTCAGAGCCTTTATGATGATCTAAAAATCGATGATGATGATGATGATGAAGTTTACGAGGAGGAGGATGATGTTCATGATGATCACCGAACCTGCCCCAAAGTTACTATCAAGAAAGCTTGCGGATTCTTGCCAAGGCTTTGTGCTAAGAGCTCATTCAAGATTTCAAACCCGGTTCCTCTGGATGCAGGATCAAACCGGGTTATTAAACATTCAGGTGATCAAACCGGTTTACCAAACTGGTCAACTAGGCGTCTTTCCGGTTTTATCTCTCCGTACCGAACCTCTTGTTCGGAAACCGGTTTTCTTGGAGCTACAGAGAAACCAGAGAGCCTCAAGAGGCTAAACAGAGGAATAAGCAAGTCTCAAGAACTGTATCCAACAAGAACAAGAAGAGAGATTCTTCCTAACTATTCAAATTCTGGAGAAATCAGAATGACTCGAAACTCCATCTCAACTCCTTCGAGGATCCAACGGACAACGATTCAAGACTCGAGGTTTCTTGCGGAAGAAGTTAATCGAAGAAGAAGTATAAGCAGCAGCAACAGGTCAGGGAATCTTCTGAAAGCATCGCCGGATTATACGGCGACGATTTCTCCGCCGCCTTTACCGGAAACCCCGTCTCGACCGTGGCTCAGACGAACACTGCTTCCTCCGGTGAACCCGAGACCGTACGGCGTGGTTTTAGGTCAAGTTGGTTCCAAGAAACAGAATCAAGAAGTTCTTGAATCTACGAAATGGGAAAAAATGGTTAAAACATCGTATGTCCATAACGACCACGTTCGTTATTCTCAGGTATTAAATACTCTTTGAACATTTTGAGTTCTACAAATCCAATTTTAAAGAAATATATTTTGCATTATTGAACTTTTTATTTATATATATATTATCTTTGTGAATTTCTATGCAGGAACTGATTGGTTATCCCTCTCGCCAGCAAAATACATGAGACCAGACATACTGTTTTTACAGGAAATTTAAATTAATAAATACATTTTAAAACTTGCCTCTTATTTTTCTTGAAGGCAACACGAATTACCCGAGATTGAAATTTTTTTTTCCCATTTTTTCGTGTGATATATATAATTGTGGCGTTTGTTTTTCCGACCGCATACTGTATTTTGTAATTGGAAGACCTAATGTTTTGTTATGTTTGATAAAAAATATGGATTCTGTGGCGAACCGGTTATGACTCATCCGGTTTAGACCGGGACAATTTCACAATATAACCACGCTGTTTCATAATGTAGAATCATTAGTTAATCAAATCACCTTATTAAATTTGAAACTAGAGTTATATTGATCTCATGTTCTACAGTATTTGACTTTTTTTGGCTTAAAATATTAAGCAGTGATGGGAGGCATGTAATGTGATGAATGGTGATGTTGATGTTCAATTGTTCATGCATATCAATCAATTGAAAAATAAATTTCAGTCAAAAAAAAAAAAAATTGAAAATACATTTATCCTGTGTGGCATTGCTCATTATACATACGATTCGAAACCCAATGTGATACCGTTAGATTAACGATATGATAACCAACGGCCAGAGATATTTACTATTTTATTGCCGGCCCTACTATCTAGTAAAGTAGTATAAGGCAGGCACGTCCCGTGGGTCTCACTTAAACGAAATCGACTAAACATCGTATTTTGTTATTCTAATTAATTTAATTTGAAATATTTACAGTAATGTGACGTGTCTTCTTAGTACAATAATCATCTATCGAAAGCAAATTACAAGGAATTAATTTAGGGATTGAGAAAGAATTGATTTAGTTTTTTCGAAATAATTAAAAAGATAAAATAAATCTCCAGAGAGAGAGAGAGAGAGGGGGGGGGGGGGGGGGGGAGAAAAGGGAGAGGGAAGAAGAGAGAGAAGGCACCACCCTTTGGCCCTGGAGAGACCAAAGATGGTCGAAGAGAGAAAACTCTGAGATCATCATCATCATCCTGCAAAAACAAAAAAAGAATCGATTTTTTTTTAAAGATATAAAAAATTGGATTTGTTTTATTTTATTGATATCGATTTCTGGGGATATTTTGATTTCTTATTCCCACCCAACAACATTCTCTTGCACTACCCGCTTTTTGGTTTCTTCTTTTTTTTCTATTTTTTTTCCAGAAAGATATCAATACACATTGTACGCATTCTCCTTTTACAGTAAGTTTTTTTTATTTTCGCAATCATTTGTTTGATTCCTTTACGTAATTTGCAATACATGCATTTAAAGAGGAATTATATGCTTTTTTTCTTTTTGGTGGGGAATTCTACACATTGCTTATTCGTAAAGGCATCACATCCTATTTTGTAATTATTGTTCATAATTTCACCTAAATTTTGTTTTTGTTTGTATCTTGTCAGGTATTAAGATACAACGGAGCTGTATAGAGATCCAGAGATGAACACTGTGACAAAAAGGGTTTTGTGAAATTCATTTTCAAGCCTCGAAAAAATGATGAAGGACCCTGATATTCGAGAATTTTCTGCTTTCTGTACATTGTAATATATTTTTTGTTCGTTGCTTTGTTTCTGGGAAATGGGTATTTTGGATTTTAATTTGTAATTAGGAAAAAATAAAAAATTAGTATAGTGTTTGTTGTAAAAACCTTATAATGGGTGGTGGATTCCACTACTCTTGTTTCCTCTTCTTGATCATTTTCCTTCAAGCTCCTCTTCTCTCATTGTCCATCAATTCTCAAGGTTAGATTTTGTATAATCCCATTTTAAAAATTTGTTTAGGGTTCTGGTTCTTAGTTTATTTTTTTATATGAATTTTAGGATTTGCATTGTTGAAATTCCGGGAAAGAGTGAACTCGGATCCTCATGGAACTTTTGCAAATTGGAATGTTTCTGGTAATAATGATCTTTGCTCCTGGTCAGGGGTGACTTGTGATGACGGTAAAGTGCAGATTCTGTAAGTTTACTCTGTTACACTAAAGCTATGAAGATGAGATCATTATAGTCTCTCTATATTCTGATCAAGTTTGATTTTGTTGTTTCTTTTTAGGGATCTTAGCGGATGTTCCTTGGAAGGAACGTTAGCTCCTGAGCTTAGCCAATTAAGTAACCTAAGATCTCTGTAAGGATAATATCTACAGCTTCTCCTTGATAATTTCGACTTTTGGTTGATGTATGAACTAACCTAAACCGCTTCTTGCTCTTGCAGAATACTCTCCAGGAACCATTTCTCCGGTGGAATACCAAAGGAGTATGGGAGTTTATCAAATCTGGAAGTCTTGGATTTGAGAGACAATGACTTGAGCGGACAGATTCCACCTGAGCTAAGCAATGACTTGTCGCTAAAACACTTGTGAGCTAACAACTGAATGTTCAGTGCTTAACCCAAAAAAAAGATTGTAACCAAATTTTTTGTTTGCTTATGACCTTGTTGGACTGATCCAGGTTGCTTTCTGGTAACAAACTTATGAGTGGTATGAGAATAAAGATCATGAGACTTCAATCGCTCTATGAAGTCCGGTTAAACAAGAATCCAAAGTTCTCTCCTTTTGCTGTTCTTGGCTGTGCAAATAGAAAACTTGGACACTGGTAAGCTCTGTACTGTTCTGTACGATCTTCTGAAATGAAGATTCAACCAAAGACTATTTTTTTTTCTTTTCTTTTTTATGTTTATTCATCTTCACTGTTATCTCTCTCTTGACAGTGTTTCAAGAAACCGTATCATCCGAGTAAAAAAGATAGAATCTTTTGTATTACGGATCAAAGCAACTTCCAGGCGTTTCTTGAAAGCATTCCCAAGTAAGCCAAAACAATTCGGATTCAGCTTCTTTCAAACGCAGAAACAAAAAGATTAGTAACACTTAATGTGATTCTTGCAGGTACTGATGATATCTTCAAACGTCGTGAGTTACTCGAGGAGACAAGTAATTTGGCGGCTGAGACTGCTCCTCCTTCTCCTAGTCCTTCTCCGGGGATTATAACTGAAGCTTCTCCTCGAAGCAGCGGGTCTTTCCCTGCAGTAACTAACGCAAAGAAGAGAACACCGCCTTTAGTCCTTCCTTTACCTTCTCCTGATGAAGACACTAACTCTGACTCCTCCAAGAATCCGCCACAAGATGATAAGAAACAGACGAAAGGATCGAAACATGTATGGCTCTATGTGGCTATCGCGGTTGCTTCTTTACTCGGTTTACTGATCATAGCCGCGGTTATATTCTTCTGCCGGAAAAGAGCTGTGAAGAGCATTGGTCCTTGGAAAACTGGTCTTAGTGGACAGTTGCAGAAAGCTTTTGTTACCGGTAAAACTCCTCTTCTTCTTCTCTGTTTCCATTTTTCCTCTGTTTCTTGTAGAAACATTAACGTTGAAACTGAGAACAAATGATAGGGGTACCGAAGCTGAATCGGACTGAGCTGGAAACAGCGTGTGAGGATTTCAGCAACATCATCGAGACGTTTGACGGTTACACTGTGTATAAAGGAACTCTGTCGAGTGGTGTTGAGATAGCTGTGGCTTCGACGGCGATTTCCGAATCTAAAGAATGGACAAGAGCCATGGAAATGGCATATCGTAGAAAGATTGATGCACTGTCAAGGATCAACCACAAGAACTTTGTGAATCTGATTGGATACTGTGAAGAAGATGACCCTTTTAATAGGATGATGGTCTTCGAGTATGCACCAAACGGAACCCTTTTCGAACACTTACACGGTAAAAAAACATTTGCTCTCTCTGTCTCGTGATGTTCTCTTGGCTTCTTCACTCTCTCGCGGTTAATAGAACGTTTTGAATGCGCATATCAGATAAGGAGATGGAGCATCTTGATTGGAGCGCACGGATGAGGATAATAATGGGAACTGCTTATTGTCTGCAACATATGCACGAGATGAACCCTCCCATGGCGCATTCCGACTTCAACTCATCGGAAATCTACTTAACCGATGACTACGCAGCAAAGGTTTGCTTTTAAAGTCTCTGAAACTGCCTTTGAATGTGTTGTTATGATGCTGCATTTGCTCAAGAACCTCTGAAACTGTATAAACACGTTTCTTAGCCGAATCTTGCTCAAGAACATCTTAAAAAGATTTGGTTAACCGGAATGTGCAGGTCTCGGAGATTCCTTTCAACTTAGAGGCGAGGTTAAATCCGAAAAAGCAAGTCAGTGGTGACTTGGAGCAAGCATCATTGCTACTACCTCCAGAGCCAGAGACTAACGTACAAAGCTTCGGACTCTTAATGCTCGAAATCATCTCTGGGAAGCTCTCTTATTCAGACGAATACGGATCTATCGAACAATGGGTATATAATATAAGCATTGATGATAAAGTCGCTTTTCTAATCTTTAAAAAACAGAGGAAATAATCTGTGTGTCAATAACTAATTGTTTTGTGAATGTTTCAGGCATCGAAATATCTGGAGAACGACGACTTAGGAGAGATGATAGATCCATCGTTAAAGACATTCAAAGAAGAAGAGCTTGAAGTGATCTGTGATGTGATACGAGAATGTCTGAAGCCGGAGCAGAGACATCGACCTTCAATGAAAAATGTAGCGGAACAACTAAAAGAAGTCATCAACATAACTCCAGAGAAAGCTACTCCAAGATCCTCTCCTCTTTGGTGGGCAGAGCTCGAGATCTTGTCCTCTGAAGCTACTTGACCAGACAGAGAGAGGGTTTTCTCTCAATCAAACCGATCAGAGGTGTACTCTTTCTTATTCATTTAATGCTCTTTCTCTCTATACGTTGTACCAAAACTGTTTTTTCTTCTTCTGGTTTCTTGTATCAGTTTTTCTTTATATACGAGCTTTTGGTTTCTTGATTCTTCACATTCAGTTTGTTTTTGATTAGTGTTTGCTTCTCGATGGATTTGATATATACGGAATTTCGATATGTGTTTGTATAATGAGACGTTAGTATAGGCGTATACATACTATAGACGTATTCACGTATGTGTAACTATAATTTCATTTTAGCATATGGTGAGAAGACTAACAGATGAAACCCGCTATGATTATCAAAATAGGCCCAAGCCCATTTCTTTGTTACTAATTTTTTATTAAAATATTCTAAAATAATCAACACAACAATAACAATAAAGTTTCTTCATAGCTTGACACCTCAGCAAAAATAATCACCAATCAAAACATTTTATTAATACATTTCATCTACTTATTTTAATTTTTAAATTTAACCCCATTAAAAACCTAAATATTTTTTCTATTAATTTTTGTTTTATTTTTTACCAAACTCAAGCTCAAATAATTAATAACAACAAATAAAAAAAATTATTATTTTATTTTTTACCAAATCCAAACCCAAATAATAAATAAAAACAAATAAAAAAATTAAATCGTTGTTTCCTTTTTTTTGCCAAAACTAAATGCAAATAATAAACAACAACAAATAAATAATAAAAAATTCTAGCTATCTATTTGTTTGACATAGACATATATGATTGAAAAGTGTAGCTTCAACATCAACTATGCTTCCATGACAACAACGCAAAAAGCCTTATGTTATAAAAAGCTCACACATCAGCAAAAATTTGAATCGATAAAAAACATAATAATTTCTTAGTTTTCGCGGGAAAATAAAATTTCACGGGAGATAATGTAATTTTTGGTTTTCGCGGAAAATTGTAGTTTATTTATTTTTGTAGGAAAACGTGATTCTGCGTTTGACGAGAAAATGATTTTTTTTTTTGGCAGAAATAGACGATTTCTCAGTTTTCGCAGGAAAAATAAATTTTTCGATCTTGGCAGAAAATACAATCTCTCCATGGCTTGAGACCTCAGATTTTTTAAGCTTTATAAACTTGACACCTCAGCAAAAATATTTACCAATCAAAACATTTTATTAATATATCTCATCTACTTATTTTTATTTTTAAACTTAAACCCATTAAAAACCTAAATATTTTTCTATTAATTTTTGTTTTATTTTTTACCAAACCCAAGCCCAAATAATTAATAACAGCAAATAAAAAAATTATTATTTTATTTTTTACCAAATGCAAACCCAAATAATAATTAAAAACAAATAAAAAATTAAATCGTTGTTTCCTTTTTTTTGCCAAAACCAAATGCAAATAATAAATAACAACAAATAAATAATAAAAAATTCTAGCTATCTATTTGTTTTACATAGACGTATATGATTGAAAAAGTGTAGGTTCAGCATCAACTATGCTTCCATGACAACAACGCAAAAAGCTTTATGTTATAAAAAGCTCACACATCAGCAAAATTTTGAACCGATAAAAACATAACAATTTCTTAGTTTTCGCGGGAAAATACAATTTCACGGGAGATAATGCAATTTTTGATTCTCGCGGGAAATTATAGTTTATTTGTTTTTGCAAGAAAGCGTGATTCTGCGCTTGACGAAAAAATGATTTTTTTTTTGCAGGAATAGACAATTTCTCAGTTTTCGCAGGAAAAATAAATTTTTCGATTTTGGCAGAAAATATAATTTTTTTTTATTATTTTTGCAGGAAGATAAAATTTTTTGGTTTTTGTGAAAAAACGTAATTTCTCGGCTTTGATGGAAAAACACAGGTTCTCGCGAGAAAATGTAAGTTTAAGTTTTAGGTTTGACGAGAAAATGAATTTTTTGGTTTTGGCGGGAATAGCCGATTTCTCAGTTTAATGAAAAAATAAAGTTTTTTTAATTTGACAAAAAATGCGATTTTTCGATTTTTGTAAGAAAAAGAAATTTCTCAGTGCTAAATTTATATGTTAAAGTATGTTTACAGTATTAAATTAAATTATTTAACTTTAACTAAAACGATATTTTAAGAGTTTAAACATAATTTTATATTTAGTTCTAAAGCAATAGCAATGGTTTTGATATGAATGTTATTGATTATAGTTTGGTAGTTTTAGAAACATATGTTTATAATAAAATATTTGATAAACAAATAAATTTTATAATTTTAAATAATCATATTAATTAATAAATCTTTTTTTAAATGATATTTTGCTTTATATAATTACAAAAGAGAATCATGTGGCAATTTATCGGAGAACATAAATTACTTGCCATTAGCATGAAAGTACTAAAAATGTATTGCTTTATTCTTATATATTTTATTCCTATATATACATTTATAATTAGTTAGCTAACTAAATTTAATAATAAATTATAATTTTGAAAAAAAATATATATATAAATTTTATTCAGATTTAAAACATATAAATACATAACTTAAGCTAATAAAAAATAAATATAATACCCATTTACATTATAAAAATAATTTTATTATATTCAAAATATATTCAAAATTTAGAAAAATATTCCGCGGCATAGCGCGGGTAAATACCTAGTTAAAATAATGAATACATTATTGAAAAATTGTAAAAATGATTATTTTAAAAATATTAACATTATTCTTGTAATTACTGTTATATATTTATTAATGAAAAATTAATTATAAATTAAATACAAATTTACTATACAATTGAACATAGATTAAATATAAATTAATAGCAAATTAATGACAAACTGAAAATACACTACTAAACAATTTTTAAAAAGGTTATGTTTTGCAATAAAATTGTCAAATAAACAATTTAAATAAATAATTTTTTTATATGTTTCTTCTCTTTTTGAGTGAGATTTGTTGGTTGGATACTGCTTATCTTGAATGAATTTCACAGCGACAAACAAAAAAAAACTAAAACAAAAATGCGAATTGTCTTTTTGATTTTGAAGAGAATATATTCTGCGTATCTTGTGTGATTTTTGAATAAATCACTCGTGTGAACACAGGAGCATCGTATCTTTATTTTTTCTCAAAAACAAAAATTGATAGAGGCTGGTCAATTGGTGTAAATATGAATGTTTGGTTCTCTTAAAATAAATTATTAATCTATTTTCATGGTATTTTGTGGTATTTTTAAAAATAATTAGTTTACAATAGACCAATTTATAATATTCTGAACGACACAACATATCAAAATGGATATTAAAGATTTTAGTTAACATCTAATTAAAGATGTAAATATGTGAGCTAGCTTTCTCCTTTTCATACCTCTATCATCATCTATAAATATACATTGCATTTGCATATGTATCTTACATACAGGTAACAGATGTGTGTGTGTGTGTGTTCGTTCTAAAAAAAAAAAAGAAAAAAACAGATGTGTGTGTTGAATAATCACTCGTGCGAACAAAGAAGCATAGTGATACATTTTCCAATAATGTAGAATCTTCCTTTCTTCTTCTTCAGGAACTCGGCAACTCCTTTCGGTGAAGAAGACTTCTTCTTCGTCTTCTTCTCCCAATTCTTCACTGTCTCCTCTTCTGATTTCTCCCTCATTGTTGAATGTGTGTAGAATATATATAAGCAGTTTTTGCTTCTTTTTTTTGGTTTTGTTTATATTATTGTATATGGGGTTCAGGGTGTAGTTAAAATGATGATTGTGTGATGATTGAAAGGTGTTTAAAAGGAAGTGAAGGTGCACCATTATATTGGACTGAAAGAGAAAGAGATGAGGAGAAAGTATTCCCCACCATTGATTCGGGACCTTCCAACGAAACAACACAAAAACAAAGGCCACTTGTCAAGTGTGACCGACTAGCTTCCTATTATGGTTGAAAATATTTGATGTATTGTTTTCTTGTCTTCTTACCATTCAAATATTCATCACTGGTTCAAAGATATTCATCATTAGGTTATGTTAAAACATACGGTTTTGCAGAATGTGCGTATAATTAAGATTATAGGATTCAAACTCAAACTAATTGACAATAATAAAAAATTGAATATTGTCTTTTATATACATTAGTGTTGATTCATTTCTATTTTTAATGTGTGATATTCTAAATTGTAAATCCATCTAAATTTAATCCTTATTTTTGGCTTTAAATATTGGTCATACGAAGTTGCAAACTAATTGATGATTAGCTACCAAAAAAATGTAATGAAATAAGTAGAAAGACTATGAAGTTATAATTATATGTGATCCCAAATAGTTTTACGAATAAATTTACACATTTATACTTTTCAAGATTGTACATTTTCTTATCTACAAAGTTCATTTGAAACTTACAACATACTCATTTTACCATAGTATATACAACTGACTGCATCTTATATTAGTCTGAGTAATAAGATCCACACGAATTCCAAGATGGGTTAACTTTTAAACTCATCAAGAACTTTGAATTACTGTATTTTCTTTTTCCGTCAACCGAACGTAAACTACTACAAGGTATCAAAAGAAACCATCCACTCAACTGACTCCAGCTCTATATTATGATAGTTGGCATTTAAATCTCTAATTATGAAATAACTCAAATCAGTGACAAATTAAGGTAAAGTCAGTCGTCCTCCCAAGTGACATAAAACAATATAAAATGAGTAAAAAAAAAGGAATTTTAGTGATCAAGCGCTAATTAACAACTCAATTGCATGCAAACATTATGTTTATAGATGATAATAGGTGAACCAATCAAGTTCTAAATCTTACTTTTGAGCTAAGATAGTTTGCGTTTTGTAAACTTCAAACACAAAACAATATTTTTTAAAAACAGACTTTAGGTTTAGGGAAACTATAAACTCAAAATTTGTAATATAAAAAACAACAAATTTTAAGACCACGATAGTAAATGGCAAAATGGAAAAATGGAAAAATACAGTTTTAGTGGTTTCATTTTCCAAGAAAAGTGTAAAGGTGGATTCTATCACATCTTTTTGAATTATGATTGAGAAAGCAATCAAACTCAATTACGATCTAAATAATTGACGAAGAGCAATGGGTCTCTTGGGTAGGGGATGCACCGTGCACGTGAAGTTCACGGAGACAAGACATCCCTTGCCTGTTGGCTGTTGCACTCAATACAACCCATTTTGTTTTTTGGCAAATACTCAATACAACCTTAATTTTTGAGGATGTGATTACGTAGGGACATATCTCTCGCTGGCTTTATATATTCTTTGATGTAGAAAACCTCAAATCGTGAAAAGTTCATATTTTTTTCATGCCGTCCAATTTCACCATATGCTTCTTTTTATATATATTTATGAAAATAAAAAAACAGTACAATATAATATGGCAAAATACGAAACTACTACTCTAGAGTATGTGTCAGGAACCATAGGAGTGAGTGACATTATGCCTTTCGTTTCCCCACCGACGTAACTGAACCTGAAACGCAGCCGCCGCAGCCAAAAATTCAACGCACTGCGGCGGAGCTAAAGTATCTAAAATACCCTTAAGCGTTTTCAGCCGCACACAATCTGCCGCTTTCACCATCTTCTCAAGCCTCGTCGCCAATCCCTTCACCGCCGCCTCAATCACCACTGCCGATTCTCCTCCACCGACATGACATCCAACCCTCGCCAGCTCCATCATTTTACGATCAGCCATAGCCACCTAGAGACAACGTCCTCAAGTTATTTAGAAGTTGTTAATCAGACAAAAAGTTTCCTTTTATAGGTTATGTAGATTTATTTTGATGTTGGCTTTGTTCGGTAATACTACCATGCAAAATTTTAAAATTATGCCGTGGAGTGTCTTTTTTTTTTTGGTTAACACATATAAATACGGGGCTTATAAATTATTAATGAGGAATATGTTTTTTTCCTTCAAAAAATCGATTACACAATAGATGTGATTGGCAAAAACATGCATAATATATTGCGAAACCATTCCATTATATTATGCATGTTTCACAAATCATACCTTTTGGGATAAGTAAATAAGTAAAAAATGACTTTGGAAAAATATATACAATACATCCAACTAGTTAAGTTGGTTTATTAAAAGTTTATAACTGAGACTGTAGCAATTATTTAAATGATAATTAGTTTATTAAAAATAATTCAATACTAATTCAAACAGATAAACAAAAAGATTACCTAAATAGCGTACGAACAAGTGCTAAATATGTTAAATATATTATATATATGCCCCCTTCTGTTTGATGAGTAATTTATTGATTTCAGATAAAATTCCAGAATTCCAATTTATACGTATTCAAAAATTTTAATCTTAAGAAAAAGAAAAAGGTTTTATTAACTTGAAATCCGTACGAATCCGATCGTGGACCCACCTGATATCGCTCCATCTCTCTCTCAAGTTTTTCTTCGTCGAACCTCGTCCTGACTCTAAGCTCCTCCAACTTCTTCACCTGAGCCTCCTCAAGCACCACCGTCGGCCTCCACGACTTCCTCAGCCTATCAAGCATCCGAAACGCCGACGACGGCTTCCATCCGGTTAACCAAAAACAAGACTTCTCTAGTGGGTTTAGCCAAACCGGTCCAAAGAAAGCCAAAACGTCTTCTCCTATGGCTGCCCATTTTGCTGTGTAGTAAGCTTTGTGATGCGTAGTCAGCTTCGAGATCAAACCTCGAAGCTCGATCTCACTTGTAGTGTTGTTGTTGTTATGAGCAGTTATGAGTTGATGAAGATATTGCTCAAGTTGAAAAATCCAACTATCGTAGAACTCGAGGAACTTTTCTTCTATTCGGTTTCTCATTTAGCTTTTCTTATGAAATTTAGCATTTTGGGACAGTATTTATACCTACGTATCTCTACATATACACTTGTATATCCGCAGGCCTGAATATGTAATCATATTTTATATTTTCTGTTACATCGTCATGGTTTTTATCATAATTACTAACACTAGGGAATAACTATTTTAATGTGAATAACGTAAATAAAAAAAATGAAACAAGTATATAGATTCAATATATATAATTATAAGAAAAATGAAACAAATAACTAACATTTTGATACACTTAATAAAAGTATGAAATGATCGAACACAGTATACTTTTATATTACTAATTAAAAAATTGACGGTATTGACTGGCATTTTATAGTAATTGTTGGTTACTAGAAACTCCTATTTTATTTCTGTTTGTTTTTTTTAAACAGTATATAAGAGTTTGGAGCCTTCAAACTGTTAGGTATTGTATTTATGTTAAGTCATTATGAAAATGTTTGGACGAAATAAACTTGAAGAAGTCATATTAACTCGGATTTATGAATATACCAAAAGTAGGACCTCGATAATGTCGACATGCAACATATGAACGTGTATTCTTTAGCGGGGAAAAAACATATGTATGTATATATGTGTATATGTTTTAAGTGTATATACGTATCAACGTATGTATACCAAATTGAATGTGCAAAACACTTATACGTGTATATTTTACGTACGGCTTCGTCGAATTTTTTTTAATACTTATATATATATATATATATATGAAAGGAAAATCAAAACCTTTCAAAAGAAGACGTAACAGATGGAAGGGAAAGGATGATTACAATAGTTGCATGGCTTACGCGCATCACTCGCCGACTGCAAATATGTGACGCTTTTGCATTTGCAAAAATAGTAAATAGTCTTTTAATCTGAATTATCTTTAAATTTTAATTAATTAAATGTATACGATATACTCTCATGGAATTTTATTAAACAACTAAAATATATTTTTATAATAAAACATTTATTCATGTATTCACCAGGTACAGAAATTCATGGATTGATAAATAAAGTTAGATCTTTCTTCAATGTGAAGAAGAATCGGAAAATGGCAAACGGATTTTGACCTCTGAGAGACCTGAACAGGCAGGTACAGAGCAGATGGCTCACGTGGACCCACGTGTCGCTCTTTGAGCCATCCTTAGCGTCAACGTGGAACACATCTCCCACGTAAGTTTGACAGTCAATCTCTCTAGTAATAAAATGTATAGATTCGTTTATCTTCACGACTTTTTATATGTAATAAAATCTGTTAAGGATATAAAATGTCGAAGTTTTTTTTTTTGAACGTTTACGGTTTTTATAGTAATAAGATTATCTCCAATATATTTCTTTATTTTTTATTTTAAAATAGAGTAATTACAAAATAGAGTAATTCCAAAATAAAATAATTCTAAAATAGAGTTATGTTTTGCTCCATTATATTTCTTTATTTTATATTTCAAAAAAGAAATATTTTAAATAGATTTTTATTCGATTTTCTTATAAATACTTTTTAGTTTTAAAATTTACAAATAAATCTTACTTATTTTATTATTTAAAATTTATTTCAAAAACTATAACTTAAATATTTATCAAATAATAAAAATTACATATCACAAAAAGCATATATGCAATTTTTATTTAAACATTACTATTACTAAAAAATTTATCATTAATGTTTTTAGTATTTATTGTTTTAAATTTATTTATATTATTTATCTTAATTTTAGTACTTATTATGTATTTTAAAGTTAATTATATTTTGTAATTTTTTAAGAATAATTACAGTGTCTAAACTATTCATAACTATCAGTTTTATAATACTTTTGATTAATAATAAACAGTATAAAATATAAGTATTTGAAATCTAAAGGATTAATTTACAAATAAAAAAGTTTAACTCCAAAATAGAGTAGAATTTAGATCTACTCTAAATATGGAGTAGAATTTAGATTTGAAAATAAAATAGAGTTAAAAATAATTTTACTTCAAAATAGCATTTGGAGTTAAAAATGAATCATTACTACCATTCTGATAATTTGATACAGACTATATTAATTAAAATAATCGAAAACAATATTTGTAAACGTAATGGTCTAGTGCATGGTTTGTATCAAAATAGCCGTTATGTAATCATTCAAATTTAAACTTGTATAGTGAATATGATTGGTAGTATAACACAAACAAATAAAAACTAAAATAAAATTAATCATTCGTGTAGTCTTTTGTGCAAGTTTTCCATAGTTTTGGTAAAAAAAAAGTTTTCCATTGTAGAATATAAAACTCCAAAACGACATATAAAATTATGGATACAATAACAGTTACATAATCAACATGCAGTGCCGTTTTGGGTTGGTTCAAATTATAATCCAATAATTTTGTGACCATAACTGTATCTTAAGTGGGCTTCTTTGCTTTTTTTCTAGTCGGACCTTAATGGGCTTCTTATATTCTTTCTGTTGTCAACACAAAGCTAATATGTACTTGTACGATTTCAGAAGTTGGCAAAAGAACGAACAAACAAATAATCCAAGAACAACTTTTGAAACAGTTCATCGGACAGGGCCGAGAGAGGCTTGGAAGTATGGCTAAGAATGTGGAGGAATAGCAAACTGTTTCGAATATGGGAATTATTACAAAAGTTTAAATGTGCTACTGATCAGGTAAGTCTAGTGCCTTGTTAAGTTTGTTGGAACTGAGCCCATACGCATATATATGTTTCTTGGTGCATTTTCATAATTAGCAAACTGAAATCAAAACAACTAAAGTTAATCAAATAGTATTGAGATAACATTTTTTTTTTTCGTCTAAATTTTATTACTGTGAGATAAATAGTGGAAATAAAGATAGAATACAAGATAGAATACTAAGATGGAAATCAAATCCTTAAATAAAGGGACAAATAAGATACAGAGAATAAAGATCATGGTAGGAAACAACCACTATTCAGAGGCAAAAGTCACTCTCGAAAATATCAAAAAGGACGAAAAAAGCAAAAAGCGCGACACTACAAAGTCCATAAGTCGCAGCAAAGAAGATCAACTGCAAGAGACAGATAAAACCCCAGGATAAAAAAACTACAAAAAAATAATCCAAATATAACAGTTGGCCTAAAAATAAAAAACAAAAAACGAGAATTTAACTCCTACACTCTTAATCTTCAATCCAAAGAATCTAAGAGTCTTCAATCAAAAGAATCTAAATCTAGAACTTTGCATCTCCACAAGAAATATTGAGATAACATATAAAGCTTATATTATGAGAGAATATATATATATAGAGCAATTAAACGAGAAGACAACATTACATCTAGCGAACTGATATATTATATTCGAATCCATCACAACGATCCATCGTTCTAATAAAATTTGAATTTTTTTACTCATGTTACCCAATCACACTCATATATAGTTTTCAGTTTTAGAATTGATTTCAAAATTGAAGATCATCACGCGATTGCGGGATAGATAAAAAGTACGTCAAGCGTCACAGATCTGTTTTTAGCAAATACTCTCTCTGTTTTGACTTTTAAAATATATCGTTTTAGGTATTATACACATATTAAAATATTTTTTTATAATTTTTTTTAGTTTTTAATTTTTTTAATTGTATATTAATTATACTCTAAATACTTCTTTTTCAAGTTTTTCAGATAAGTGTTTTGACTAATTTTTATTGAAAAATAAAAGAAATATTAATTACAAACTATAAAGTTAATATTTAATAAATAAATAAATTAATTAAAAGGATATACTACAAAAAAAAATAAAAAAAATAGAGTATATAACATGAGAACGAGACACGTGGGGCACGTGTCGACGAGCCTACACAAAAAGTCACGAAGGGAAGCCTTCATAAAGTACGTGTCTAGATTCACAACTATAAATAGAAACAACTTTACCGTACCAAGTTTATCCATGAATAAGCTGTAAATAGAACAGCTTTAAGATTTTGTAAATCCAAATTTTCTTTTTACTGTTTTTTTTTTTGGTTTTGACAATAGTTTTACTGATTATTATGTTCCTCTTTTATTTGAAGATAAGGCAATATAATTTTCTCTTACTTTTTTGTTATTGAGAGATTTCAATATGCGCGTGAATTTGTTTCTGTTTCGGTGGTGACGTTCACCATGTTTTTTTTAACATCAACTAAAAACCAAAACATACCATTATATGGAAATAATCATTGGCATACATACCATTATATGGAAAATATCTTTGGCATCTCTTTTCGAACGAGAAATTTCAATAATAAACAAACAAAAGAAAGAAAAAAGAGACTCCCAACAACAACAAAATGTTGTGAAAGCACATGACTCGGTGAGTGCTTGCAAAGAGACAAGCGAGAAGTGAGAACAAGACAAGAGGGACAATGAAGATGCTCTGTATAGCGCAAGTCTACATTAACTTCAATGACCCTTTATTAAATTTCACATTGTTATATAATATACTATTGTATTTGGTAGCTCGGTGAGTAAGTTTGAAGTTAAAAATAGAAAACTAAATATAATAAACAGAAACAAAAAAATTAAGCGGAGTAGTCTTTAAGTTTAGCAGTCCAACAATGGAAAAATAGTGGAAAAAAATAAACTTGCATCATTTTGAAGATTTACTGTAATTTATGTGCAGTTCTTTTTAATGAAGTAAACTTCATGAATCTGTAACGTGTCATCTCTTTGTTAACCATTTTAAAATCCTGAATGTTTGTGAATGTTATGATTTTTCTTTGTCCATTATCTAGTTTTTTGTAATTAAAGCCTCTTCATGTATCTTCGGGAATTTTGTCGTTTATCTTCTTGTCCTCTCTTTTCTAATTTTCACCAAACGGAAAAAAGCCTTTCGGAAACTTAGAGGAAGAGGTTTACTCTTTTCCGCCGACAATAGTGACCGCTTGCATTGAGACAAGATCGCATACGACCAAATATTTATATTATATCTGATAATAAAACGATATAATTAGTAAAATAAAATAATTAATTATATAAAACGACCCAAAACATATTTTTCAGAAACGACAAATCCTCCGTAACCGTGCTTTCTTTTTACATCTTCAAACCACCCATCTTCTTCGGACTTCCTAGTATATATAAATCAGCAACCATTAATTATAGAAATATATTGAAACGAAATCGTAATGGTGTATAATCTGAAAACTATATAAACTGCACGAAACCAAAAACATAAGATCATAAAACCCCTCCAAACAAAAAAAAAAAAATTTACGTCGTTAATAACTCCATAATTAAATGGAGAATCCGAGCTCCTCTTCAAACATCGAAAACCTTCAAAGAAATTGTTATAACGAGTGGATGAGCTTACAAGCCAAACGCATGACAGAGCTCAAACAAGCGTTATCAAACGGCGAAAAAGACGATGACGAGCTTCGAGATATGATACAAACGGTGATCGGAGATTTTAAGGATTATGCCAGAAAACGGTCGGAACACTCCCGCCGATATAGCTCAAACTATATCGCTCCGACATGGAACACTTGTCTTGAAAACGCACTTCTTTGGATGGGAGGTTGTCGTCCTTCTTCGTTTATACGACTCGTATACGCCATGTGTGGGTCTCAAACCGAGCTCCGTTTTACTAACTTCCTCGGTAACAACAACATCGATGGTGAGTGGATATACTTATGTTGAAAGAAGGAAACATTTGCTTTCATACTTACAAGTTACAACTTATACTATGATTTAGAGTAAAATTTATTGACCTGTAGTGGAAAGTTTCAAATGTCTCATTTGTTTTTATTTTTCCTATTTAAATTTATTATCATCATAGCAAAACTAGCTTTAGTTTAACAAGAAAAATAACACACTTTGTACTTCCGTAGGTTTACGCGTGGCCATGGATGAGACACGTGACGGTGGTGGGAGTGGCGGAGGAGGAGAGTCTATGGGTGATCTAACGGCTGAGCAGTTATTCAAGATCAACGAGCTCCATATGATAGCGGTGAAAGAAGAGAATAGGCTGACTAAGCAATCGGCAAGTTTACAAGAAGACTCGGCGGATATGCCTATCGCCGTCGCGGCGTTTTACAAAGAGGTGATAGGAGAAGCTGACGTTGAGGTGGAGCGTGCGCTTGATAAGCACGAGGAGGATATGGCTGGTTTGCTAGCTGAAGCGGATAAGCTGAGGCTGACCACGTTGACTAAAATCGTTGAGATTTTGACGCCGGTTCAAGCGGCGGATTTTCTGCTTGCCGGGAAAAAACTTCATTTGTCGATACACGAGTGGGGAAAATTGAGAGAACGTCGCCGGCTTGAAGGTTGTGGTGGTGGTTCCGGTGGAGAAGGTGCCAGAGAGTAATGGTCGCCGAGCGGACATTATGAAATATATAATGGAGGATTAAACAGTAACAAGATTAGACTAATCTTGGTGCATTCAATAATATCTAAGATTCGCTTTCAAATTAATTTTCTTTGTTTTCGTAGTCACTAAAATGCTTTAGTTCGTAGACTGTAAGCGCTAGTGAAAGTTTCATTTCGTCTTGTTTTATATGAGTAGGATTCTATATTACGTTACATACTTACATATTTGGTTATTACTCGAATCCTATACTATACACGTGTGATATATTACATATTGCAGTACTATCAAATATCATATCGACAACAAACTGCGCATGGTGGCGGCCAAAAAGTTTGTGACAAATAAAATGAACGAAAAATGACAAATAAAATAGTATTGGTGACGTGGCCGCAACATGTCGGCCAGAAGCTCTTAAGAAGAGTCGAGTGCTAATTAGACATCGTCATTTCCGTTGGACCAGGATCGGATTCGACTTCTTAGATAAATAATTTCCGAATACACACTTTTTCTTTTTCTATGTGTACATTACATAGAGCCGTAGTCCATGAAAATTACAATTTCATTATGTTGTTCCATCGCTTAATGGTTTTTAATCATAATATAGAGATACCGAAATGCAAACAAAATCACCAATGTGTTAAGAGGATACAACAATTACATATATCATGTTATAATACAGCAACACCGAAATACAAACAATAAAATCACCAATGTAATAATATTTATTTCGTCACTGTCTTCAATCAGATGTAATTTTCTTCAAATCATATTTTTGTCAAAAGTTTAAATTATTCGTTAAAACTTTTAAGAATTAACAGTTACATATTTACACTTCCTCTTGTGGTCTGTAGTGATTGTGCAAGTCTTTCCACTTCCTTTCGATTTGTAGTAACCGAAATATATAGATCGATCCCTAATGTTTACAAATTAATAAACCATTTAATTTTTGCATTTTTTTTTATAATTACTATTATTTACTTAAACATAATTCAACTAATAATAAAACAAAGTATATAATATACAAATACTTATACTTTTTTTAAGAACTATATGAACGTTATTACTTTCCAAAAAAATAAAAAAGAAATTACTTATTATTAAGATGAACTGGAGGAAATATTGCTAATAATTATGATTCAAATGCTTCTCGACTGTGAGTCTGTAACTTTGTCGGCAGGCAATTCTAGATCTCACTTTCCAAACTCAAATCGATAAAATAATATTCAACCTAGGAAAATCCAAAATTCAATCTGACAACGGGTTTCAGTCTCACGACAAGACTGATTAGTCTGACTTAATGGGAAAACTCTTAATAAACAAATATACTAATCCCATAATTACTCAGAAGTATAGGCCCAAATTGGTTTACCAACTCAAATATTTAAATTTGAAAATAAAGCTCGCAATCAAGGATCCGATAGTGTAATAAATTCGAACAGCAAATGTAGTCAGGTGGTGCTGGGCACATGTGACATTGGCCCCATTTGATCATCAAGAACTTTGCATTTCGAGCTGGACCGGATTTAATTTGCTTTTACTTTATACCGGGTACACTCACACAAGGGGAAATTTTTTTGTAATCAAATAAATACGTTCGCGTAGTTTATTTGATTTAATTATGCGAGACTACTTTTTTTAAATAAAAAATTATGTACATTGCAGTAAGGGAAATCCAAGAAGGTAGTTAACATAAACATAAAACTCTAAAAACATAAAATAATGATTATTATATTAGTTAACAACGCTAATGAGAGATATAATTAAGAAGCATAAAGATGGGTTGCTCCATAATCTTTATAATTTCCTCTATGCATACAACTTTTCCTCCTTTTTCAAATTTTTATTTCACCGAATAAATCTTTCAGAGAAATATCCCACCACTATTACAGCTCTGCAAGAAATGATAAACGACGCCGTGTATATATGTCTACCCATCGATTTGATAGTGTTATTGACACGACAGCGTTTTCGGTTTCGGGTTTTAGCATGATTTTGTGGGACCCGTGCGAAAAAATTCTGAAAAGAATCAGTAGAAGGGAGGCGGAGGAGGAGAAGCGTATGATATTCCGGGAATCGGCGGTAGAGGTCTCTCGTGACTACGAGGTGGTGGTGGTGGGCTGTGATGAATCACCGGCGGAGGTGGCGATGATGGCGGTGGGCTGTAGTGGACGGTCGGTGGTGGTGGAGGTGATTTGTCGTAAACCGGTGATGGCGGAGGACTGTAATGGACCGTCGGGGGTGGAGGCGGAGAGTATTCAATGCACGGTGGAGGTGATGGTGGCGGAGGAGAATATAGTGCCGATGGTGGAGGTGGTGGCGATAGATAATGATAAACTGGTGGTGGAGGTGAGTGAGGCGGCGGTGGTGAGTGCGGAGGTGTGGGTAATGGGTAATGTTGTGGTGGTGGTGGTGAGCTGTAGTAGTAAGGGACTGGCGGTGGGGGTGAAAATTGAGGTGGTGACGGCGAGTGAGGCGGTGGTGGAGGCGGAGGGTGAGTGCAGTAAATAGGAGTTTGAGGTGGTTGTGTTGGAGATGGATGCGGTGGATAATATGTTGGCGGAGGAGGTGGTGATGATGGAGGAGAGTAACCTGTAGACGGTGGAGGAGAAGGAGGAGAGTACCCTGTTGACGGTGGAGGAGATGGAGGAGAATACCCTGTAGGCGGTGGAGGTGGTGCATAGTAAACCGAAGGTGGTGGAGAGTACACCGGGGGCGGTGACGGCACAGAACCCGGAGGACTAGAAGGAACAGAGGGTGAGGGAGGACCACGATGAGGTGACGGCGGAGACGGGCCTGGGTACGGTGGACTACGAGAACCAGGGGGTGAATGAGAACCCGGTGATGGTGGAGTTGACGGAGGAGGAGAAGGAGCAATGATCGGAGGACCAGAAGGAACAGAGGGTGAGGGAGGACCATGATATGGTGACGGCGGAGACTGGCCTGGGTACGGTGGACTAGGAGAACCAGGCGGCGAATGAGAACCCGGTGATGGTGGAGTTGACGGGGGAGAAGGAGTAATGATCGGGGGACTAGACGGTGAAATAGGACCAGGAATTGGAGAGATCGGAGATGGAGGCACCACGATCGGAGGACTAGATGGCGAAATAGACGGTGAAGGAGGAGAACCACCAGGAGATGGTGTCGGCGGTGACGGAACGACAATCGGAGGCCGGGGAGTAGCAGACCGGCCACATCCAAACGACCCACAATTCACCGGCGGCAGAGACGAGAAAGCCGCACATTGCCCTGGAGATCGCTGCGCAGGTCTCGCCGGCAAACAGTTACGCCGATCATCAAACCCAGGCAACCCGAGACATACCGGCGGCTCCCCGGTGAAGAAATTGTAGCTGAAAGTGAAGTTCTCCAGCCTCGGCAACTGACAAATACTCGCCGGAATCTGGCCAGAGAATCTATTGTGCGCCACATTTAACTGCTCCAGCGAAACCATCCCGCCAATACTCGTCGGTAACGACCCCACAAGTTCGTTGAAACTGAAATCAAACACGGTTACGTTTTTCAACCGTCCGATCTCCGACGGCAAGCAAGAGTTAAACCCATTGCTCATGAAGATGATCTCTTCCAAGTTCCTCATATCGCCTAAACTCGTCGGAATACAGCCGTGGAAGTGATTGTTCGCCACAACGATGACGGAAACCGGCGAATCTCCCAAATTATCCGGTAACTCGAACCGGAACCGGTTATGGTTGATGAAAATCGCATCGAGGTCTTTGCTGAAGAGCTCTCTAGGTACAGCTCCTTCAAACTCGTTAAACCGCAGATCCAGAAACTTCAACGACGGTAACTGGAGGACGACGGCAGGAAATATTCCGGCAAACCGGTTATTGCTGAGATCAAGCTCAAAGAGAAGCTTAAGCCGGTTAAACCGATGCGGTACGGTTCCACAAAACCGGTTCGAATTAACATGGAACAGAGCGAGATCTGTTAACAAACCAAGCTCCTGAGGCAGATATCCAGCAATGTCTGCGTGATTGAGATCGATCCCGGCGACGGTACGGAGACGTCGATTATCCGGCGCCGGAGCACAGAAAACTCCGGCGTAACTACAAACATCAGAGCCGACCCAGTTGGTGGTGAAATTGTTTGGATCAGAGAGAATGGCTTGTTTCCAAGCTTGAAGAGCTATGTAAGCATTTCGAAGTCGTGGATTCTCGAAGACGAGAGATGGATCGACGACGACATTCTCGCCGCGGTCGCCGAACTCGTCGCGGTAGTAGAGAAGCTGCCGCTGTCGTATTAGCCGGACTTCCTTGTCGGAGAGATCGCCATTGGAAGTGAATGGGTGAGAGTGAGAGTGGCCTGTGGCAAAAAGAAGAACGAGAAAAATGTAGATCTGAGTAGTATTCTTCATCTTCGTCTTCGTCTTCGTCTTCGTTTTCATTGCTCCACACAACAAGACATCTGAGTGGAGGAGTGGCAGATAATGAGAGATTTGAAGGATGATGAAGGGTAAAACAGGGAACAACGTAATAAAAAGTTCACTCAGTGAAGAAGTAATGCGAAGAGAGGGAATTATAAATGAGAGAGATAGAGAGAGACAGCTCTTCACAGCTCGCTCAGCCCTACACACATACTAACTCCCTCTTACACTTTATTTTTTTATCTTTACACTTTCAAAAATTATTTAATTGATGTGTCCATGAATTACATAACAAATGAATAAATGTAAGATCGACTTTTTGGTTACCTTTTTTGAACTGATTGATTATATACGTTACGACGAATTGTAAACAATTATTTAAAGATTTGGTCAACACTAAGCTTGGATTAAAGACAATTCACATTGCTCTAGGCACTAGGCAGTTAATTTTGTTTAACATCATCAACTATTCTAATACAGTACATGTATGGGAAAAACATTTAGATCTACTGTTGTGTTTTGGATCCAGTTTTGGCATGAATTACGTTGTTGGTTAAGGCCCATAAATTGAAATATTTGTTGGGCTTTGTTTTTTTCTAACAGCTGTGTGTTGTGATAATGTCTTAACGGTAAGTTAAATGAATTAGGTGAAACTTGAAAGTCACGTGAATTCATTTTCTTCTAAGGTGTCCCCAAGTCATTAAAAAATGTTCAACAGTTAACTGTACTTATGTCGGAATAGTCTTAAAACGACATGACCCACATCATGTATATAGTTTTAGATTTCCTATAGATATTGGATTGAAAGAACATAAAATCCACAGTATTATGTTTTATCTTGATGTTATTGCCACAATACGTATAAATAGTGTGTGTGTGTAACTCTACGGATCCGTAACTCTGCTATTTACACAATGTTATGAAATGGCATTTTTAGTCTGCTTCCGATTTGTCTGTACTTTTAATTAAAATAAATTGTTGGTAAACGGTAATCACACTGTAATTTTTTAATCGTCGATTGAAGTTCATTCTTTTTTTTTGGGTAAAATATCGAAGTTCATTTCTTTCCAACATAATAGATAACTTTTCACAGAAGAAAAACATTATAAAGTTCATTCGATGTAACTTGTTATCATTAATTATGTAAACATGATAAGTTGGTTTTAAAGTAAAATTGATTCATAGTCGATCTAATAAAAATAATGATCCGAATAAAAATGAATTATAGTGATCTATTTTATATCCAATATTACATGATATTTTGTAAACAACGTAGAACCCAAATTTAGTTACATCAAAGACATAAGTACTATCGTAAAACGAAAATATTAGGATTTGGATATATTCTAGAGATAGTTATGATAATATTGATGTACAATATATACGGTGTAGATAAACACGAGTATATCGTTAGCTAGGAATATACTATGTTCTTTGGTTTGTATATAAACCCGATGTGCATCGTTAATAATACACAAGAGTTTCATTTCAATTTGGTATGGTATCAGAGCAGGAAAACATAAAAGAATAATTTATTTCCTGTTGATAATATCTTTTTTTCCTTCTTTTACTTTCCTTCTTTTTATTTTCCTTGTTATTAAAACTCTTCGATGACGAATACTGGTGGATCTATGAAAACTTCTTCCAGCGGTGATAGGGATCTGATTTCTCCGTTTTACTTGCATCCGTTTGATAACACGGGGCAAGCTCAAACACCTATTCTTTTGAATGGTGATAATTATGAGCGTTGGGTGAAGCTCATGACAAATTCGCTCCGAACCAAGAGAAAGTGTGCTTCCTCGACGGATTTTTGAAGCGACCGTCTTCGGACTCGGTGGAAGCTGAGAAGTGGGACATGGTCAATTCGATGGTGATAGGCTGGATCTACAGCAGTATTTAGCCCAAACTGCAACCCTCTGTATCGCTCGTGGATAGTGCGAAACTCATGTGGGATGGATTGCAACGGCGGTTCTCGGTAAGCGACGGGACCAGAGATCATTAATTACGCTCCGATTTGGCGGCTTGCCGACATGATGGACTCACAGTGGAGGCATACTTTGGCAAATTGAAAGTTCTCTCGGATGATTTGGCGGATTTGGATCCTGGATTTCAGTGCTGCTGTAGTACTGGGTCGTGTCCAGCAATGGTGAAGTATGAGCAACAGAATGAGAAGATTCGAGTACACCAATTCCTCATGGGTTTGGATAGTGCTCGATTCGGCACATCTCGCTCAAATTTGTTGAGTCGAAAATCAGTACTCAACCTTGATAAAGTCTATTCTCAAATCGTACAGGAGGAGCGTCATCTCAACGCTACTCGTTCGGTGGAGGAGAGGCATTCAATTGTGGTTTTTTCCGCTTCGACAACACCTGTTGCTTCAGCTGCTCGTTCCGAATCCAACAAACAGTTGAAGTGTACACATTGCAACAAATCAGGACATGAAGTGGAAAAATGTTTTCAGCTTCATGGATATCCCGACTGGTGGAATGAAAAATCATCAGGGAGAGGTGCAGGTCGAGGACGTGGCAACAGTGGAGGAACCCGTGGCAGGGGAAGAGGAACACAGCCGAGAGCGTCTAATGCTCAACAAGCAGAGGAGAGTTCTCATGGCATTCCGAACTTCACTACAGAACAATGGAAGTCGCTGGCACAATTTATGAACTCTCAGAAATCCATTACCGATGACAAGGTATCTGGTAAGAGAGATAAATTGTTTATTATGGGCAAAGAGAGTCGTTTTAATATCATTATTGATTCTGGGGCATCGCATCATATGACTGGTGATGCTGCTTTTTTAAAGGATATAACTTCTATATCTCCTTGTCCGATTAAACTGCCTGATGGTGGTATCACCTGGGCTACTAGTCATGGAACTTTGCATCTTGGCGGAAATCTTGTGTTGCGACATGTGTTTCTTGCTCCCCATCTTGATATAACCCTTGTCTCTGTTTCACAACTTTTACGAGACTTTGCGGGTTCAGTCTTATTTACAAAACGTTTTTGTGTGATTCAGGACCTCACTTCGAAGACTTTGATTGGAGCGGGTAGAGAGCGTGATGGGGTTTATCATTACATGTGAGTCATTGATGCTACAGCTGGAAGCACTACAAGGTTGCAAGGTCGAGATTTATGGCATCGAAGGCTGGGGCATCCATCGGCTAAAGTGTTGTCTTTCATTTCGGGTGTTGGTGTTTTTAGGAATAGCTTAAGTGATTTGGAAAAATCGTGTGATATTTGTCTTCGTGCGAAACAAACTCGTTCTCAGTTTCCTACAAGTTTGAATAAAGCAGAGACACCATTTTTTTTAATCCATTGTGACCTTTGGGGGCCATACAAAATTCGATCTACCTGTGGTTCTCATTATTTTCTTACAATTGTGGATGATTATTCACGGATTGTGTGGACATTCTTGCTTCTTGAGAAGACAGAGGTACCGAAACTATTTCAGAAATTTGTCGTGTTTGTTTCTCGACAATTCAACAAACAAGTCAAGACCGTACGAACAGATAATGGTACTGAGTTCATCTGCCTCCGTTTCTACTTCAACGACTTGGGTATTGTCCATCAGACTTCATGCGTAGCAACGCCTCAACAAAATGGTCGAGTGGAGCGGAAGCATCAACACATTCTGAATGTTGCACGAGCTTTGCTGTTTCAGGCCCACTTACCAATTCGTTTATGGGGTGAAAGTATTCTTGCTGCAACTTATCTTATCAACAGGACTCCTTCGACGGTGCTTCAAGGGATATCTCCTTACGAATGTTTAACAGGCACGGTGCCTGATTAAACTCAGCTGCGTGTCTTTGGGTCACTATGCTTTGCAAAACGAGTTCAACGGAACAAAGATAAGTTCCAGGACAGAGCAATTCAGTGTGTTTTTCTCGGTTATGAGCCAGGAAAGAAAGGTTGGATTGTCTATGATTGGGATAAAAGTGTAAAGTTTGTCTCAAGGGATGTTGTGTTGCGGGAGGATATCTTTCCATTTGCTCCAGAAAAGATAATAAATCAGCAACAACACCTCCTGCAGCAACCGGATTTACATCCTGCGATGTTTGATGGTAATGATCGACTTGAAGAAATTACGGACGATACAGTGACAGGGAGAGCTCCTTTATACAATACGGGTGATGAGGGAACACATGAACCGGATGAACAACAGCCTGCAACGGCAGCACCAGGTCCTGCAGAACCAACTCCTACACAACCAGACCCTGCAGCGAATGTTGATTCTGACTCTGCTGATGACGACGATGCGCTGGGAAATTCTGACGATGACAATATGGGCAGAGGACATCGTGTAAAACAAAAATCAGTTCTGCTCAAACCGTATGTCACTTACTCTGCTCATCAAAATGATAAACCCTTTCACTTCTCTCGCATCTCACATCAAACGCCTTCGGGTACGTGCCTTTATCCTCTAGAGGAGGAGGTCTGTATGCTTTTCTACATGGAAATCTAGAGGAGGAGGTCTGTATGCATCTTCCTCCTGGTTTCAAAGCAACAACTCCAAATCAGGTATGTCGTCTCAAGAAATCATTGTATGGTTTGCGACAAGCACCTCGATGCTGGTTTGCCAAACTGTCAAATGCTTTGCTGAAGTTTGGTTTTCGACAAGATAAGGCTGATTACTCGTTGTTTACTTATACTTCTGGTGGTTCAGTGTTATATGTTCTGGTTTATGTTGATGATTTGGTAATTGGTGGAAGTGATCCCACGCTCACTTCGAAATTCAAAGGCTATTTGAGCGAGTGTTTCAAAATGAAAGATCTTGGTCCGATGAGGTATTTTCTGGGTTTGGAAGTGTCTCGAGGAAATCAGGGGCTTTATTTGTGTCAGCGAAAATATGCTTTGGACGTTATCCCCGAATGTGGGTTACTTGGTGCTCAACCTGTAGACTTTCCCATTGAGCAGAATCACAATCTCGCTAAGGATGAGGGCGATTTTTACCCACACCCATATAAGTACAGGCGGCTTGTTGGGCGACTTGTTTATTTAGTCATCACTCGTCCAGAGCTGAGTTACGCTGTCCACACACTTGCTCCGTTTATGCAGCAACCTCGTGCGCGACACTGGGATGCAGCTTTGCGGGTTGTCCGATATCTAAAGGGTTGTCCTGGTCGTGATATTCTTCTCAGCGCTTCTGATGATCTTTCCCTTGCTTCTTACTGCGACTCGGATTGGATATCTTGTCCTCTTACGCGGCGGTTTTTGACAGGTTATGTCGTTATGATGGGAGACTCGATTGTTTCCTGGAAAATAAAGAAACACCAGACAGTTTCTCGTTCGTCCGCTGAAGTCGAGTACAGAGCAATGACGATGACTTTCAGTGAACTTACATGGGTTATTTCTTTACTGCAGACGTTTGATGTATCGCAGACTAAGCATGTTCCTTTCTACTGTGATAATCAAGCGGCTTTGCATATCGTTAATAATCATGTGTTTCATGAAAAGACGAAACATATCGAGGTGGATTGTCATTATGTCCGTGATGGTGTTCAGGCAAAGATTATTCAAACCAAGCATATCAGGACTACAGAACAAGTTGCAGACTTATTCACCAAGGCTCTTGGAGGGAGACAGTTTCATTATTTACTTGGCAAATTGGATGTTCGGGATCTCCACACTCTAACTTAAGGGGAAGTATTAGGATTTGGATAATATTCTAGAGATAATTATGATAATATTGATGTACGATATATACGGTATAGATAGACAGAAGTATATCTTTAGCTAAAAATATACTCTGTTCTTTGGTTTGTATATAAATCCGATGTGCATCGTTAATAATACACAAGAGTTTCATCTCAATTTGGCAGAAAATTTGATAGTTCTGCAACATTTGTACAAAAGTTGATGGTTCCAATCTATCGCATAATTTCTATAACTATTCTTTAAACTGGGCCGATCTCGAATAAACGTATTAAAAATCTCATCTAACATATTTTAACGTAATATATATATCGTTAGAAAAGTTGACATTCTAATTAATATTTATGAAGATTAGTTGGTCATCGAATTGAAATTTTACTACTTAATACTGTTTTCGTTTTTGTCACTCCATTGCCCTCATTATAACAGGAGTCCTTCCTGATAAGGTATTAAGAAGATATTTTGTATCTTAAAATTTTATATTTTTAAGAGAGATAGATCCAAAATAATTTGGTCAGGCTCTCTATATTCATCCGTGTTCTTTTGACCGTGTCCGTCTGAAGAAGCAAAAGATCCACAAACCAAGAGAGAAAGCATTCAATTAAATAAAGGTTAAAAGCACGATCGATTTCGTAAACGAAGCCCATCATGTCTTGCTTTTACGCACCGCCATAAATGCGCGTTGTTATAACTACAGTTTTACTCTAAAGCACATGTATAATATAATTAAAAATCACACCCATGCAGCAATCCAACGTATATATAAAGAGTATAGAGTAACGTTATAAAAATCTATCCACTGTAGCCCCCTCCCAAAAAGAAGGGCACATTCACAAAACTAACCAACGAAGAAAGATGGCGACTAGTAGCTTTTCGAGTAATGAGATCGAACAGCTTCAAAAAGGTTGTTACTATGAGTGGATGAGTCTACAAGCTAAACACATAGTTGATCTCAAAGAAGCACTCACGAGTCAACGATCCAACAAAAACGATCGCAAACTCAGAGAAGTCGTTGATAAAATCGTCAACGACTTCCAAAAGTACACCGAAAGAAGATCGGAGCTCTCCCACCGAGCCTGCTCAAGCTACTTTGCACCGTCGTGGAACTCTTCTCTAGAGAACGGTCTGCTCTGGATGGGAGGGTGTCGTCCTTCATCTTTCATCAGAATTATTTACGCTATGTGTGGATCTCAGACCGAAACCCAGCTGATTCAGTATCTTCTCAAGATCGATGAGAACGTCCATGAAAGCCATGGCGATGGCTCCATGAGTGCGCTTACCTCAACGCAGCTCGGGCAAATCAATGAGTTACATATGAAGGTGATAAAGAAAGAGGATGATGTGTCGAAGAAAGCTGCGAATTTGCAAGAAGATGTAGCGGATATGCCTATTTCCGTCACGGCTTACGCCACGGATTCGGTGGAGGCCGGCGTGGTGGTGGAGGATGCTTTGGACAAGTATGAGGAGTGTTTGTCGCTTTTAATGGCGGAAGCTGATGAGCTGAGGTTCAAGACTCTCAGGAAGATCGTGGAGGTTATGACTCCGGTTCAAGCGGCGGAGTTTCTGCTTGCCGACAAAAGATTACACGTGTCGTTGCACGAGTGGGGAAGAGTTAGGGAAGAGCGTGGTCTTGGGTGTGGGTGTGGGTGTGCACGTGCCCGCGGTTGATGAAACCGCGGCAAGAGGCAGAGACGGGAAGCCAAACAGCCACTTGTTTGACGTGAAATGAGAGTTTTTGAGGTTTACCATATGTTGTAAGTTGTCTTTGTGTGAGAAGGGGTCGTCGTTAGTTATCAGATAACAGATGATGGATGCTTCATCCTTATATAAGCTTTTTTGCTTTTTGTCTTATATAACGAATAACAAAAGCTCCAAAATGTCAAGAGACGGTCTCTTTTCTTTTTTTATGGATAATAATAAATCAGTTGTGATAGTTTTTTAATTCGCTCTAAAAACGATGATTATCTGTGTATATAATAATTTTTTTTTTCATTTAGTGAAGAAATAACTTAATAAATGCAAATAATCATCATTTTTTTTTTCAATTTATGTGTAGTTCTTTTTGATGATGAAGTTAACTCTAATGATTTCACTGTAATTCATGTGTCTTCGGGAGTTTTGTAGTTTATCTTCTTGTCCTGTCTTTTTTATTTTTCATCAAATGGAAAAGAGACTTTGGGTAACTTGAGGAAGAGGTACTCTTAAATATGATTTCCTACAAGAGAAGTTTTCAAGAAGATATTTATGATGACGAAGTAAACTCTAATTATTTCACTGTAAATGTGTAGTTCTTTTTGATTAAGTAAACTCTATGAATGTAATGGGTTAAAGAAATATATATATATATATATATATATATATATATAAATACAATCTCTCAATCAGCGACATTATGTTTCTTACATTTAAATGTAAAAATTAGATATATTTGCTATTTAAGACGTCTATAAATATCGTAACTAGTTGTCTTCCAACTTCAATGAATTCTATAACGTGTCAACTCTTTGTTAATCCTTTTCAAATCCGAATGTTTGTAAATGGTAGGACTTTTCTCGTCCATTATCTAATAGTCTTTGGTAGTTAAAGCCTCATCATGTATCTTCGGGAATTTTGTCGTTTATCTTCTTGTCCTCTCTTTTCTATTTTTCATCAAATGGAAAAGAGACTTTTGGTAACTTAGAGAAGAGGTACTCCTAGATCTATATATTGAGTATAGTATTTAAATAAATTGCAAAGTTGAATACCTGGCCATTTTAGAACATTCTTTTTTTGAAATTTTAAATATATCAGTAAAATATGTAAACCCCCTTAAAACTCAATTATTTTGTTATAAAATAAAAAGATATAATAGATTTGACTTTTAACAGTTTTCGTTGTTGTCAATTGATTACTAAACTACTTTTCATTTAGTGAAGAAATAACTTAAGGAAAGCAAATAATCATCGTATTTTGTTTTTTTTTTACAATTTTATGTGTAGTTCTTTTTGATGATGAAGTATATACTCTAATAAATATACTGTAATTTATGTGTACTTCTATTTGATGATGAAGTAAATTCTAATGATTTCACTGTAATTTATGCGTAGTTCTTTTTGATGAAGTAAAATTATATGAATGTAATGGGTTATAGAAATAATTTTTTTTTTGTCAATAGTCTCAATATCCTAGAACGGATCCAGTCAGTATGGAAGAATTGAGTTTATATAAAGGGGTTACAAAAATATATATAGCCAAAAAACAAATACAATCGGCAAAATTATGTTTCTTACATTTAAATGAAAAATTAGATATATTTTCTATTTAAAACGTCTATAAATATTGTAACTAGTTGTCTTCCAACCTCTAAATGAATTCTATAACGTGCCAACTCTTTGTTAACCCTTTTAAAATCCGAATGTTTGTGAACGTTGGGATTTTTCTCGTCCATTATCTATAGTCTTTGGTAGTTAAAACCTCTTCATGTATTTTCGGGAGTTTTGAAGTTTATCTTTTTGTCCTGTCTTTTTTAATTTTCATCAAATGGAAAAGAGACTTTCGGTAATTTGAGGGAGAGGTACTCCTATATATGATTTCCTACAAGAGAAGATTTTAAAAAGATATTGTTTATGATGAAATAAACTCTAATGATTTCACTGTAATTTATGTGTAGTTCTTTTTGATGAAGTAAATTCTATGAATGTAATGGGTCAAAGAAATATATATATATATATATATATATATATAGCTAAAAACAAATACAATCTCTCTTAGAGCATCTCCAAGAGATACTTTTAATTTAAAATCGGTGAAACTTTAAATTTGAAGTTTACTCTTCAATGATAAACTTCAAAAAAAACTTCAAAACTATTTATATTTTGCATTATAGTCCTCAATATTAATAATAATTAATTAATATCATAATGTTTTTATAAATAATTAAAACATACATATAAAAAGATTACAACCAATACTAATCAATAAAACATTACATAATTATATATAAATACATAATATACACATACTAAATTATAAATTACAAATAAAATATCAAATTATTCAATAAAATTACTTTCATAGTGCTTTCATATATGATTAATCAATGCATTTCAAGTTATCTGAATATTAGTAATATTGTAGTATTTCAATCTTTGTAATATTTATGTGTTTATGTAATTTATTTTCTTGTATTTGTATTAATTTGCTTTATATATAATTGTTGTTGTGTAATAAAAAATATTTATAATAATGTGTAATATTTTTTTTGAATATATTTTAAGATTTTTATTTAATCTGTCTACAAAAATTATATATATATATATGTGGAATACTAAAATTATATGGACTAAAGTGATAAACAACAAAACTAAAATATAAACATTCATATAGTAAACATTCTTAGAGTGTAACAAACTTTATATTTGAAGTTATAGAAATTTTTTTGGAGATGTTCTTAATCAGCGAAATTATGTTTTTTATATTTAAATGTAAAAATTAGATATATTTGCTATTTAAGACGTCTATAAATATTGTAACTAGTTGTCTTCCAACCTCTAAATGAATTCTATAACGTGTCAACTCTTTGTTAATTAAGCCTTTTTAAAATCTGAATGTTTGTGAATGTTTAAATTTTTCTCATCCATTATCTATAGTCTTTGGTAGTTAAAGCCTCTTCATGCATCTTCGGGAATTTTGTCGTTTATCTTCTTGTCCTGACTTTTCTATTTTTCATCAAATGGAAAAGAGACTTTCGGTAACTTGGTACTCCTATATATGAGATTTCCTACAAGAGAAGATTTTAGGAAGATATTTTTGTATCTTAAATCTATTTATTGAGAAGTGGTGGAATAGGCCCAAATCATTTTGTATGCGACTAGTACAACGCGTGCCCTTTTTGTCCGTTTCCGTCTAAAAAAAGCAAAGATCCACAAATCAAGAGAGAAAACATCAAATTTAGTAAAAAGTTAAACCACAATTTCGCGAAAAAAGCACATCGTATCTTGATTCCACGTACCGGTATATGCATGTTATTATGATTACAATTTTTAACTTAACGTACATATATAATAGAAGGAAATAGTAGATACAAGCACCAATCCAATGTATATATATAGAGTATAGAGGAGTGACTTTTTAATAAAACTCATGAACTAGCCAACGAAGAGAGATGGCGAGTAGTAGTTGTTCGAGTTATGGGATAGAACAACTTCAAAAGGGATGTTACAATGAGTGGATGAGTTTACAAGCTAAACACATAGTTGATCTCAAAGAAGCACTCACGAGTCAAAGATCTAACAGAAACGATCGCAAACTCGAAGAACTCGTTGGCAAAATCGTCAATGACTTCCAAAAGTACACTGAAAGACGTTCGGAGCTCTCCCACCGATCCTGCTCAAGCTACTTTGCACCGTCGTGGAACTCTGCTCTAGAGAACGGTTTACTATGGATGGGAGGATGTCGTCCTTCCTCTTTCATTAGAGTTATCTACGCTCTCTGTGGATCCCAGACCGAAACTCAGCTTTCTCAATATCTTTTCAAGATCGACGAAAACAGCGGAGATGAACACGACCGTGGTGGTGATTCCATGAGTGATCTTACCTCGACGCAACTTGCCAAAATCAATGAGTTACATATCAAGGTGACTGAGAAAGAAGACAAGATATCGAAGAAAACTGCTCATTTGCAAGAGGACGTTGCGGATATGCCTATCGCGGTCGCGGCTTATGCCACGGATGTGGTTGAAGCTGACGTGTCAGTGGAGGATGCTTTGGACAAGCATGAAGAGAGCATGGCTATTTTGATGGAAGAAGCTGATAAGTTGAGGTTTGAGACTCTTAGGAAGATCGTGGAGATTGTGACGCCTGTTCAAGCGGCGGAGTTTTTGCTCGCCGGGAAAAGATTACACGTGTCGTTGCACGAGTGGGGAAGAGCTAGAGAAGAGCGTCGGGTCGGTTGTGCACGTGCGGAGGACGTCGCTGCCGCAAGAGGTGGAGCCGGGAAGTCAAACAGGTCAGCCACTTGTTGATGTGATCAGTGTGAGTTCTAATTAATTAGGTTTGATAATATATAATCTTGTGTAATATTTGTCTAGCTAAGTAGAGATGAGGTCATGTTAAGTGTCTTTATGTGTGAGATAGTGAGATCGTCGCAGTCACCAGATGATGATGCATAAGCTTTTACTTTTGTCTTATATAACGAATATTATATGGATATATAAAAAATAAACAAGAAGATGATGCATAAGTTTCTCTCGAAACACCATGATTATTTGAGTTGTTTTTTTCTTTCACTATCGAATCATTAAAATATTGTTTTATATATTTCATCATTCATGCAAGATTAAGTTTTAAAAAAAATTTGGTGAACTTGGTATTTTTTCCCGCTTATTTCTGTGAATTTCTTTCATATTTTGTGATGTAATCAGTATACAATTGTAATTAACCTATTAAATTGGGAATTGTGGAAATTAGCTGATTGGCCGTTGTTGAATCTTTATAACGTTCGAATATTCCTTTTCTTTTAGATTCCTCTTTCCAAAGTAAACAAAAAAAAACAGAAATGCATGTACACTATACATATGTGTAAAAAGATGGAGATATATATGAATCAAACATATCAAAAACTCAAAGGTTCTCAAAAGTTGACATGTACGTTTCCCGAATGGAGTAAAACGTTTACGTGGCCAACTACATCAACTTGTTCCCAACACGTCAGCGAGATGGAGAGTGCAAAAGGACTAAACTCGACTTGATTTTTATTTAAAATAACATAAATATGAAATAGTATTATACCTTACATTTTGTTTTTTTCGTGATCCGAACGAAAGCAGCTGATTACAGATATGCAAACTCGTAAAACACCAGCTTTTTCATCACCCACCATATTAGTAAAAGACTTGCATTATGCAAACAAAGTAACAAAGAAGTTAGAGCATTTGTAAGAGAGAACTTTACACAAGCTCTTAAAAAAAAAAAAAATTGTGGTGAGACTAAAGCACAGAGACGTTTTTCTGCGTAAAGACTGTAGAGCCACTTTTTACTGTCATGACGAAATGTGATCCGTCCATTTTTTTTTAATTCAAAAATCGATTTTTTTTAATTTTTTTAATATAAAAAAAATTTAAAAGCTTTTTCAACAATTCTCTAATACATATGCTCTAAGACCATCTCCAACGCAATATAAGTAAGTATTTAAAGTTAAAAAAATATTAAAAATTTGATAAAGAAGAGAGAATTTGAAATCGGTCTCTTTAACTCTCGTTTAGGAAGTGCTTTTAACAAAAATGAAACACTTTGAATGGAGGTACCTTTATGTAATTGGTTGATTTTATTTATCATTTAAATTTAAATTTAAATTTAATTATTAAATTATAATAATATAATATAAGTAAGATAGAGTTCTAGTGTTGGAGATGGTCAAATACTCTGCAAAATTACACCGTCAAGTTTAGATTGTCATTCTTTAACCCAACCACTACCACTTAAACTATACAAATATTATATTTTAAAATATTTTTTCTACCATTAAGACCTCCCTAAAACAAAAGCAAAGATATTATTATAGACCATGGTTACTCTTCATTTCTCATCATATTGTATTATGGGATAAAGAAGTAGAAAGCTTAAGTGTTGGACTTTTATTAGGAAAATGACAAGAGGTAAATACGCCAGAAGAAAATGGCTAAAGGGTGATGAACAGTGTTTTGTGGGCTTGGTTAATTATTTAATTATTTACATCTCATGTCATTGCGTGTGCGTGGTTAAGCAGAAGAGTGAGATATGTGTTGATGAGTATTAATAAGGTTGGGTGATAGCGATCTGTGGGCATTTATGGAGGGAATTAATGCTGACCTTAACCTCCGTATTAAATGAGGGGACACAAAATATTCGTCGCTGCCTTACATAAGCATGATCTATATGGACGTGATAGCGAGTTAATGCAATTTGTAATGCTGCAACAAGATCATCGACGGGCAGGGCGGGAATTTAAAATATCTCGGCACACTTAGGTTTTTGGAGTCTCCATATATAGTCATTCATGATCTTATCCCGTATAGAGGTACAGGGGAATTAACCAAATACAAAGGAAGAATAGCTGTTCGTCGGTGAAATATAGCGACTCACCCACCGAGAGTTGAATATCCAAGTAACATCCATCTGTCGGTTGTATATTTCTGTTCCAACTGTTTTTTACTATTAAGTTCCAATTTTTTGCCGTTATTTTATCCGATTGTGGGAAGATATTCTTGTTGTCTTATTCAATTATGGGAAGTGATTCCCACCTTTGTCAGGTTTCCAGTCTTTGATTTTTCTAGAAACATTGCATAAGTGACGAAATCTTAGGTCTCGAAATCAGATCTTCAACAATTACAACAAAATCTCATACTCAGAAACCAGATCTCCACATGCATATATGCACATCCGATTCGATATATAGTCATCCATTTCACTAGTTAGACTTTAATGGTTAGTAGAATTAGTTGCATATTCAAGTCAAGGTAAAGAGATCACATTCATATATGTACATCCTCATTGATATATAGTCATCAATCATTTCATTTAGGTAACTTAACTACAAATCTGCGTAGCCCCGTATCCTACATTATAGATCTCCAACAATATAATTGGATTCATGATTACGTGGATATCTAAATGTCAACATGCGGCCTTATAAATCAGCATGCGGGTTATTTTTGTCGGTGGCTGTGACTTCCATAATCGAAGGCGAATTCGATGGAACCCCCCAAGTGCCTTCGCATGGCCTGTTGAAGTAGACGACCCCAAGGTGGATCACTTACTGCATAGGGTACATGATTTTATAGAGATATGTTTGTTGGGGGTCAGAAAGGTGGTGCTCCACCGTCACAACCTGCGGTTATACAAAGTCAGAAACGTGAAGGGAAATGTACGGGGAAAAAAAGTCTGGCGGGGCTTAAGAAAGTCAAGGAAGGTAGGAAATCAACAAAGGCTCGGCAGAACGATGAAAGTGTGCCTAACACGATGGAGATGATATCAGCTATCTTAACCTTGCAGTCTCGTTTGTTCCTGAACACCCAACCCAGATATAACTCATCTCCCTCATATACCACATCCAATATGACATTCTTCGTTTGATCCAATCATGTGAAAACCTGTTTGTCAAATATATTAGACGTTTATAACCTATTGTACACGTTTATTTAGTATTCTTTTAACAACCATTTATATATCTGTACATTATATGTAATGACACCCCACCAATATTAATAGACAATTATATAAGCTCGTAGATTAACATATATTATAGATGCATGAGCAAGATAAACATCTATGAAAGAAAATAACACACTATAATATAAATTACCAGTACATGATCCGTTGCGCACATATAACAAACTAAGAAATAACATAACCACTTTAAAATGATATATCACTCCACTAATGTTAATAGACATCTACGATATACTTATATCATCACAAATCCCCATCATTTCAAATAACCGGTTACAATTTCATCACCGTCCATCCACTTCGGCATCTCGTACGTAAGCTCGATATTCTCCTCATCTATGTCAAAAGAAGACAGAAATGGTTCAATATATCAGGGGTTACGTGCAGATATGGTTGATCTATGACACTTTGTGGATATCTATTTCCTTGGGTAAATGGGCACATGAAAATAGATATGGGTTTGATCGGCGATGTTTGTAGTTGTCTATGTACGGATAATGGATGCCTATTAAAGGAAGAGGATTGCGATAGCGTAATATGTGTTTTACTTATAACCCCGTAAACGAGAATTGATGTAAAACTCTTGACCCTATCTAACCAATTGCATGTTGTGTCGGTTGGGTCCACAAGAGTAGATAAAACCAAAAATCGGAGGAAAAATACCACAACGAGAAATTTTATAACCAAATCACAATTGAAGGCCAAATCACAATTTTATAACACTAAAATGGGGTTAGGCGTATAGGAGCGGAAGTTCGGATTACCTCAATTACCAGTGTCCGGCGTCCGGGTCTCGAAAAATCAACGGCGGAGATGATTTGCTCCTCGGGAACGGAAATACTGGGAGACTGAATGAAATCAGTTAACTAGCCTACGACAGGCAACAAATAAGAACAGCCGAAGTGTTCCGACCACCGGAGGTTGCGTGGGGATAGCAAATTGCTTTGTAGAAGCTATTTGAGTGGTCGGAGTCGGAAAAAGACGGGGGTTTCTACTGGACGTTTACTTCGCCTTTGACAATCGATGTAGAGAAACATATTTTAGGGTTCAGACAACGAAGGGACGCGAGATATTAAATACGTAGTTATTCACACTAAAATCGGACATAGTTAAAGTTTTCTAAATATAACTAACCAACAAAATATTTTATTCGAACATAGTACCCTACATATGTTGATGGAGGGGTGCGAGAACAGGTTGCGCGTGAAAATATCATTGGCAAAAAGAGTGGTGAAATATTTTAATGCTCGGACTCAGAAAAACTATAGTCAATTTATTAATTCACTACCCGTCTTTAGCCATTCAGTGGTATTTCCGTTGTATTATTGTATATTTAGTTTTATTTACTTGTGAGCGGAATCACAAATGAGAACTTACGAGTTTTTCTACTGGTCTTTGCATATGATGCGTCGAGAGGATTTTGATTTCAAATATATATATTTTTCTTTCAACTGGTAGACTATATTGAACTTTTGAACCCATAATTACATATAAATTGGCAAGGTGCGACATTCTTTCGGAGACAACGGTCTAAACAAAGGAAAAATATGAAACGGAAACATAAGTCGACAGAAGAAAAGATTTCCCTGGAAACTGAAACTGAAATGAAAAAAACTTAGCAGAATACAACTGTAAGCAGAAATAAAACTAAAACTATTAACAATGGAAACGTAGGATAGGGATTTGAATAGAAAATGATTTAATCTAAATAAAAAAAAATCATAAGTCACCAACAAAACTTACGCCAAGATAGAAATCCTTTCAAGATATTTGTTATTTCACAAATTTGCATGGTATTTCATATATCACTACTATCTTAAAAGGTACACCACTACTACAATTATTATTTTTAAAATGCAAATTAAAGTTTCTTTTAAGAAGAAGAAGAAAAAGAAAACATCTTCAGATGGGCTTTTAATTGGGGCATGTGGGTTATGCTGGTAAATTGGGTCACTATACTCACCACTTGCAAATAGCCGATAGCCATTGTTTCTTTAAGTATAAAGTATGAACACAAACGAAATACGAATATTTGAATTTTTGTCGCTATGAATTAATATTACATACAAATTTTGTTACTTTTTTTCCGCAACAAGTTACATTTTGTATTTTCATACATATACTAATCATCGATGAAATCACGAGACCTATATCAGAGTCCATTAGCATTAATAAGCACATTCAAACAAAAGCACCAAAAAAGTTACCAGTTTGGTTACATCATCACTCAAATCAACATCACGGACATACATATGCTTTACACTCACATGTAGAATCGAACAAGCTTGGCCACATTAAGAGAAACACTTTATATTGAATCTGTGATTGTCATATCAAATCAAATCTTACAGATATAATAATTTCCGAGAAAAAGCCAAAGCCAAGACAAATTGCTATAAAAAAAACCAACTTGCTTCACACAAAGACAAACACTCCACATGGTTCCTGTCAATTTCTTTACCCACAAATAGTTAAAATTTCCCAATATAAAAGCTTCACCATCTGAATTTTCCACCATTAAGATCTTCAAAAATCAACAAAACAAGAACATTCTTCTTCACTTATTAGGTTCTTACCCATTTTAACAGATAAACGACAAAAACAGAACAAAGTTTAACAGATAAAACCATTATCATCATCACATAACAAAAGGAGGACTTTTAAGAAGAAGAAAGCAAGTTTCTTTATTTGATTTCCTTGTTTTATACATATTTAAACACCTGATTGCGAAACTGATTACAATTCTCCCATGCAAACAAAAACAAATAAACTGCTAAAAGGTTAGTAAAAACATAACTCAAAGTTTTTAACTCATTCCTCTAACGATCTCTTCAACAGAAAAACATACATAACATATACTGTTACATAATTCGATTCTAAACTCCACCAACCCTAAGCAGCTTTCTCTTTTTTTTTTTTTCATTTCAGATAACAAAACCCAAAACTTCCACAAGGAGAATCAAAACGAAACTCTTTGGCTTTGTAGTCTTGCATCTTCTTCCTATTCAGTGTCAGAAGGCAAGAAACAAACCGGTGGAGACTCCGCGATTGCGGTTGCGGTTTCGTAAACCGCTGATACCTCCACAGGCTCTTCCACTTCATCAGCTGTCAAATTCTGCAACTTGGGTTTCAGCTCGTTGTTACAAAACTCTTCATACTCTGTTTTATCTCCTCCTTTCTTCTTAACCTCGACAACGACCAACGATGGTGTCAACTCGAAAATCTCTGCTGCAATCGTCAACGGACCTTTCACTCCTTGTCTTGAGCCTTCGAGACTTACCCTACAATCCTTCTTCCTCACCGAGAAGCTCACAACTTTAGCAATCTCTTCCAGCTTCGATATGATCTTCGAAACCGGAGCTCCTGAAACAAACCTAGAACCTTCACCATCGTCGTCGAACAAACCCGATAAATCGAACCCTTGAGAGAACGATATGATATCGAACGCATTCAAACTCGCCGGTCTAGGCAACCCTCCAACTCTCCTCCTCGGCTCGAAATACTCGATTTCCGATTCGGAAACCGTCGAAGACCGATCCGATTCAACGGAAGCGGTTTCCAGCTCATCGTCGTCAACAACATTGCAAAGCTTATCATCTTCAACGTAGAACTTGATATGCTTATACCCTTTCTTAAACCAAGAATTCTCCATGATCTCAGGGAAAGTAAACCGTTTCTCCGGATTCGTCTCCAGAAGCCGAGACAACAGCCTCGTGAGCTCCGGCGAAAACCACCTCGGACACCTGAATTCCCCTTTGTAAATCTTCTTGTACATCGCCATGACGTTCCGATCATGAAACGGGAGGTAACCCGCCATCAACACGAACAAGATGACTCCACAAGACCAGATATCGACTTTCGCGGCGTCGTATCCCCTCCTCGCTAAAACCTCCGGCGCAACGTAGGCCGGAGTTCCGCAGAACGTGTGGAAAAGCCCGTCTTGTCGCATCTGATCGGAGACGGCGCTGAGTCCAAAGTCGGAGACTTTGAGATTACCGTTTTCGTCCAGGAGGAGATTCTCCGGCTTCAGATCTCTGTGGTAGACGCCACGAGCGTGGCAGTAAGTGACGGCGGAGATCAATTGCTGGAAGTATTTGCGGGCGACTTCTTCCTTGAGGCGTCCTTTAGCTACTTTGTTGAACAGCTCGCCTCCGCGAACGTATTCCATCACGAAGTAGATCTTCGCTTTCGTCGCCATGACTTCGAAGAGCTGCACGATGTTCGGGTGCCGCACGCGGCGGAGAATCGAGATCTCGCGTTTGATGTGAGCGATTAAACCGCCTTTGAGCACTTTCTCCTTGTCAATTACTTTGATCGCGACGCTTTCCCCTGATTTCACGTTTCGAGCTAGATAAACCTTAGCGAAGGTTCCATGGCCGAGAAGCTTGCCCATTTCGTATCTTCCGAGGATGAGAGCTTGCGGGCTGCTTCTCTCTTTCGGCAACGACGTTTCTCTCGATAAATCCGCCATGGAAGAAGAAGATTGTTGAGGGACTCTGGGTAAAATCTCGATTGAGGTCTCGACGGAGAGAAACTGGGAATCAAGGATTTATGAAAAAGGTGGAGAAATCGAGAATCTGGGCGAGTCGGGCTCGCTTGGATTTCGAATTTCTCACCTGTTAATTCGTTGTTGATTCTCTCTCGTTTGTGAATTTCTCGAGACGTTGTAGAAGAAGAAGAAGAAGACGAAGATGGTCTCTCTCTCTCTCTCTTCTGTTTTTAGGGATTCACTAGAAATAGCATTTCCTCTGTTTCTATCGTTGCCGTATATATTTGGGAATATGCTTTATGAGAGTGTTCCTCTAATGACAAAAGAAAATGATAAAAGCAAAGGCAAATTGGTATAAGTGACCACATATTATATAATCGATACAATTAATAGAGTAACCAAAAAATAAGTCAACACAATAATATTCTTTGTATTATAGAGAAATTAATTCACTTTTTTTGTTTACAAATCTTGTGACATTGACTTACACATCTGTATATAGATTTGAAATGAACTTTATGAATTTAATTTTTAGATTTTATGTTAATGTTTTTTTTTAGTAACGTATAGTCTATGATTAATGCAGTTCAATAATTACTAATCATTTTCCAACGAGATAATTTGATTCAATTCTGCCGAAAATAAAAATGCAATACTAAGTTACTAACAAGTTAAATAATCTCTTCTTACCAAATAAACAAGTTTTAAAATTTCAACTTGCCATTCTAAATTACTATTCTATTTGAAGGTTCATATTAAACTCGACGAATATATTGTTGAAAAAGAGATGCGATGTTCATTTTCGAGTAAGAGAATCATTCACGTGAAGAAAATTAATTTTCAATCAAAGTTGATTGTTACAGCTTAAACTTAAATTCAAAAATAAAACTGGCCGTATTTTTCATGCCTCTTATACACCACGAATCACACTCCAAATACTTAAAAACAAAAACATACTATAAGTCATTATCATAGCTTTGTTTTGCTATAAATATTTATTTGAACCGTTAATGTCAAACAATAACGTAATAAAATCGTTGTGTGGTGAAATAAAATGATCAAATAAAATGATCAAATAAATGAATTGATGTTGAATACTTAAATAATTGTAGTGGTCCATCCAATTTTTTTATTTTTAAAATAACACCAATTGCTTTTTAATCATTTTAAATTTATACCCGCCTACTTATAAAACGATTTTAAAATAATGATAAAAATCTATATCGCAAAATAATTGGTTCATTTGTAGCAAAACGTAGCAATTAGAAGGCTTTGTAAAGAGAGTTTTAGTAGGAGTAGTATACAAATTTGAATTAGTATTTACGAACTAATCGAAAGAGACAAGAATAAATAAACTTGATTAATCGTAGGGAAAGACAATTAGCAACAGCTAACCTGGTGGGTCAAGTTGGTGGTCTCGAGACGAATCTAGATCGTAGATTACTTTGTACCATACAACGTAATCCACGTGGCGCAAAGCTGACATCATTGTTTTTGCGGCTGTTAATTCAAAACGATGATTATCAGATTTGTTTTACACGCGTCAGTTTCTCAACGATCGCTTTATTTTAAGTGGTATCAGAGTTTTCTATAGGTAAGTGTTGGGGCCCCACATCATTTGATCAGACAGCTGTGAATTAATCACAGCCGTTGGATTGCCACATGAAACGTTTTTTGTTGTCTTTACATAGACGCGCACGGAAATTACGGAATCCAGCTATAGTGTTCACGGAAATTAATAAGTGTGTTTTATACGCCAAACTTCTTATCAAAATATCTAAATTAATTCAACTATGTAAAATTGTTAAATTAAGAAAATCTAAACTATAATTTTTGTTTAATACGAAAGTCAATATTTATGCAGCGGTTGTTGAAGAAGGTCGGTGGGTCCATAGGTCAATTGTACGTAATGGTCGGTCAGGAGTTTATTACTATAAGCAATGGAATAAATATCGTATGTACAGAAGTTAGATAGTCCATTTGTAACGATAATGATGTAAATGATAATTTAGTCATACCTCCTTAAATCTATCTAACAAGTTAAGAAAACACAAGTAGTGATCGGTGAACAATATAATATATAATTTGTTAGTGGAAAAAATGAACAATGTATAATGATGTAACAACGTAAAACGAAAAAAGAATTAATTTATTCCAACAAATGACAGTTGAGTTCCTAAACATTTTGACATTTGACCTCAACTGTTAACATTTTTAGTATGGACTCTTTGTCAAAACAATTGGTGTAGTAGTGTAGTTTACATTATTTCAGAAAAATTGTAAATCCATGAGAACTGAGAGAAGTCTCAATTGTGTTTTGGGCTACCTATTTTTTTGTATATACGAAGTTAATAACTCATGGGCCTGTAAAATATAAAGATCATATTTAATTAGGGTTATCGTCTGAACATTTTTTCACAAGCGACATGCTGATATATTTGGCTTATATGAGTTTCTTCATGAAAGCGAAAATGAGATGACCATAATTGGTTAGGTGAGTTTAAGAGTTTTCATCTACAGTTTAACTGCGATACATGGATTAAGAGATTCATCGGAATTACGCCGAGGCAAGTTTATGAGTCGGAACATTCGGAGAGGCTAACCAAAGTCTATCAACCCAAAACCAACAAAACATACAAATGCATTTATACATAAGAACGTCATAAGTTGCATCATTCATGACATACCCAACCATAGTCCTGAAAATTTTGAGACTCGGAAAGGGAATTTATGGGTACGGGACGGGAACGAGAAATTTGGGAATTGAGAAATAATTTCTATAAGGAAATCCAACAAAAATAGAATGGTATACTACGGATACGGGATGGGAATCTACGGGTATGAGACAAGAACGAGAATCCTAAACTCTCAAATTAAAGACATAGATTTTGGAAAAATTTGGGAATTTTTGGAAATTTTCGAAAATTTTCAAAAAATTTCAAATTTTTTTAGGAAATATCGGTAAAATTCAATAAAATTTAGGAAATTATGTAATTTTTTGAAATATTAATTTTTAAAACGGAAATTTAGGTTCCTGATCTGATTTCCTTTTCCTTTCCCTTACCCATTTGAATAAAATAAATAATTCCAAATGAGAATTTTCTTAAACAAGACAGAAAATCTAAAACGGGTACGGGTGGAAACCAGGTACTCATCCCAAAATTTTCAGGGCTACCCAACCATAATGGCACAAAATCAAAATCCAGATATACTGCACCAGAACAGTATTGATCTCTTTGGTCCTACTACGACTAGGCAACCCCCAACACATATATGCACAAAACTCGGTTTTTGGACCCGGCCACACCGGATCATCTATTATTGTACAGCGAATATTGTCTATGGGCCTTATTAAGAAGCCCATTCTATACGACTAGTAAGCAGTTGTCTCCAAGATTCTTCTAGACATGATCATCCCACATGAGAATAGACAGATGTTAACATCACAAAGGTGATGTGCACTACAAGGGCTTTACGTTCGCTAACAGCAGAAACCATTGTCTTCAAAGATTAAAGTATATATATAATATGACAGAGAGGCAAAAGAGGTCGCAGAGTTACATAGAAGAGAGAAGTTTTGACTAAAATAAGTTTGCAGGTTTGACCAGCCCATCTTCTCCCACCGACTGCCAACCCACCCGTCTATCCTGCTATCTTCATTTGTTCTCATGATATTTATTCATGTGTATGACTCTCAATTTAATTTTCTTTTTCTGCGCGTAATAAAATGGTTTAATCTAAATGCCAGTGACCAGAAATCATAGTTCAAGTAGTTTGTACTAGTGATTGTTGTAATGCTGTAACTCAAATTTCAAATATCATCAAACGTGATTGTAATAACACCACAGGCGTCAAAAACCCATTTATAGTTTATTGATATCCTCTTATGATAAATGTTCTTCAAATTTTCCTCAAAAGATAAAATAACAAATGTTCTTTTAAAGTTTAAAATTAGTCTGGTATTCAAAAACTGTTAGTTTCTTCAGCCATATATGGGTTTGAAATACGAGGTTCTTCCGGTTTTTGAGAACTTTATTTTGATGTATATTCATTTTTAAATAATAAAAATAGGTTCTTGAAGATATAAATTTTGTTCTTAAAGATATACAAACAGACGATCAATAATATTTTAGATATATATATATATCTACTATATATTATTTGAGAAGTAACATTATTGAAAATAGCTTACTTGTCAATACTACAGCCAAAATTAGTGCTTTTAATTGATGACATGTAAATGTGACATGTCAAACTTCCTAAAATAAATAAAATATTTTGATTGGTTGAATTAAAATTATAGTTATGAAATTAAAACATAAATAAACTAGATTATATTTGTAACACTAAAATTAACAAATTTAAATTAACAGAAAATAAAAGTTATTATAATTATAATTTTTACATATATTCATAATTTCATAAAATATAATTAGGAATTTTTTAACAATATATATTATAATTTCACATAAAAACAAAAAATAATACTAAATGATCTAATAGAATAGTAAAAATTATATTTATTAATAATACTTAAAGTATGATATATTTTTATATCGGAAAGTTATTAATTTATAAAATATATTAATAACATCTAAACAAGTTCTAAATAAAAAATTGTTAAATAATACAATATTAAATAAAATACAATCATGATAAATATAATTAAAAAAATAAAATATTAAAATAATAAAATAATTAACTTTTATTGAAATGATTTTTAAAAAACATAATTTTGAATAATTTTATTTTCAAACCGATATTTACTAATTGAATAAAGTATATACTAATTATTATTTTATAATATTAATAGGACCATATATTTTTCTATAACTTTTATCATCTTTTTATTGTTGTTTTCTAAAATGTACATAACTTATGTTACCATCTCATCTTATTTCTTATCATATTTTAAATAAAAATAATGGCATATGCATATATATATATAAATTTATTTTCATTGTATATGAAAAATTTGAGAT